CTGGTTCTAACCTCCCTTCCATTCTTTTCCTCCAATGTTTCTTCCTTCCTCCTGCATGCCGCTAGTTCCACGTAGCTAGAGCACGCATTCTGGTGCGCGGAAAGCAGCCAGGGAAAAATAAAATAAAAAAATAAATAAACAAGAATCTGGGTTTCATCTGGGCCGCATCCCCCTTCTTTGTTTTGCGGATGTGCGCAGTTCCGACAGCACTGAAAACGTGACAGCCGTGCAAAGCTCGGCTCAACTTGCGAACCCGGATTTAAAGTTATTCCGGTGTCGCCGCGTGGAGGATATGACCGTTCATGAATATCCAGGGACAGCACATAGCATCTGCAGCACATGGATTAAAGAAAAAAAAGTCATGCGGTTTCTCATGCATTCGCCTATGACTTCTCGAAGTCGAAAAACCATCTTTTACGTCTTTTTTTTTTTTCTCGACGAGTGATAGTAATGCTACAGCACCCATGAACGAATTTCGCCTCTATTAGGGGATATGCTAGAGTATATACACCGCGTTCTGAGTGTTGAAAGTTTCAACAGCTTTCAAATACGGGTGATACGTTGGTTCAGATGGTCTTTCGAACTACGGCTCATCTTTACAGCGGTTTGAACCAACAAAGAGTGAGCTGATGATCTTGTGTTACAGCTTACTTATACGCAGAAAGTGCGAATAGTGAAATCAAGCGAATCGAATGATATTGGATAGCGATTGTATACGTATCGTACACGAACACAATTTTGTTCGAATAGTATTCGAGTATAGTAAGGCGACAAGTCTAAAGGCATGCCTATAGAAATCTGCAACGTTTTACTGCAAACAAATACTATCCACATACTTTATTTAATGTTCCGGTTTGACGTCCCAAAACGCGTTGTCATTACGATGGATGCCGTATTGCGGGGCTCCGGAAATTTCGACCACCTGGTGTTCCTTAACGTGCACCTATAAACCCAAGTACACGGTACTTGGGTCTATGTTTATATGGGTAAACATTTTCGCCTCCACCAGAAATCCAGCCACCGCAGCTGGGATTCGATCCCGCGACCTGTGGGCTATCAGTCGAGTCTTATAACCACTATATAGACCACCGCGGCGGGGCACGGTGCGGTGATGTGAATATGATACGTAACTTTCGTTCGCGTGTTCCTACGGGTTCAAGCGACGCTTAAATATGGCTCGCTGAAGCATACGAATACAAATGTAATGTTGCACGTTATAAAACCCCAGGCGGTCGAAACTTCTGGAGCTCTCTCAAAATCATATGGTGATTTTAGGACGTCAAACCACACATGTCAAATCAAATGTAATGTTTATTGAACTACCATAAAAGCGGAGCCAACACTGCCTTAGCCAACATTGAAACCACATTTGACGTTAACCCGATATGACGGTTTTATCATAGGAGTATACATATGTAGTGTTTATTGATTTTTTAAAAATAAAATCCTATAGATAGTATTACAACCACAACTGACGTTTCACCGACATGACGCCTACACAGGGCCTTTCTCAAGTGCAGTTTCTAAACCTGGCGTGGATATGGGGTTTGACTGCATATAAAGATGCCCGAGTTAGATTTTTGCTGGAATCATAATTTTTATTATTTGCATTCGTCGTGCCTATGCTGCCGCGGCATATACGTCTTCTTATACTGCTCTCGCATTTAAATTGACAATTTATGTTCTCGCCGTTCTTGGGTAAAAATAAACTGTCAGTCACCTGCAGCGCATATACCGCAGTCCATGGTATACGGGTGAATGTCACGCGTGTTTGAAGGAAATGGTTTGATGACGCATGCCCCACAACAGGATTTTTCAGGGTATTCATACCATGATCACACCGTCACATTCGTCAAACCTTCTTACCTTCCCATGCCAATTTCGGTCTGCACTATTTTAAAGAAGCGATCACGAGAACACGCCGACGCAGAACACGCTCAAAGCTTATTTGGGTTTCTAAGAAATACTTCGCATTTAAATAAATAAATAAATAAATAAATCAGCATTATAGGTTATCCTCAATAGCGTTTGAACGCAAGAACCAAACAACGCTCGTCTGTACATGTAGTCAGCGTACGAATTGCGGGTTGTGAAAGCAGCAATCTTGAGACGTTTACAGGCACTTGGTTCGAGGATGCGACAGCGGCGTCCCCAATGTTACGACAGCCAAATAACGATATCCTGTGTTTTTTTTTTCGTGCTGTTTTTTCTACCACTCTCACTTTCGCCCTGACGCAATACGAACTTAATCAGCGGACCATAGAACGCCACTCCGACTGAGGAAAATACACGCAATCTAGTGACATACTTATTAATGTACATGCTCACACAGCGTTGAGGGTATGCTCGTTTAGAAAACTGTATTCCACTATGTGGACGGCATACTTTAGTAAAACAACAACAGCAACGAAAACGGGCAAAGAGAGCGTCGGTCTGCATTGAGAGAACACGTCGATGCTCGGAAGAAACAGAAATCGCCGCAGTCCTCGACATGCAGACAAGTGGGCCTGTCTCCTTCAATGTCATCTTAAGCGTTAAGATGACACTACCGTTCTGTGCCGACTACGGTCACATATCGCGTATATTAGGCCCGTGCATATATATATATATATATATATATATATATATGCGTTATTCAAAGGTCGCAGGTTCGGTTCCTGCTCACGGCAAGTTATCTTTTCGCCCACTTTTCTTTCTTCCCCTATACATTCCTTAGCATTATTGTCTGTTAGATATATTATGGTGTCAAAAACACAGCAAACGAGCCCTTAAATGTACACTTCTTTCCCTTATATATATATATATATATATATATATATATATATATATATATATATATATATCATCTCCGCCAGCGTATACGATGCGGAGATGAAGAAGCGATTCAACTGCCAGGATTCAATTGTGCCCAGCCCCAGATTCTCGGTCGTTGCGGAGATGAATTGGGACAAGAAAAAAGCTGACTAAATTAGGGAAGGGTTTTGAATTCATTGGCGAAGAGAGAGAGAGAGAGAGAGAGAGCACGTTCGGAAAGAGCGGGAGCACGAATACGCGCTAAGATAGGCAGTTACCTTGAATATCACAGGACCATTTGTCGGCACATTGGATCGAGTGACATAAGCAGTTGAAGGGTTGATATGTATGGTTTGACGCCCCAAAACCACCGTATGATTGTGAGAGACGCCGTATAGTGGAGGGGTCCAAATATTTTGACCACCTGGTGTTCTTTAATATGCACCCAAATATGAGCAGACGGGCCTACAGCATTTGCGCCTCCATCGATAATGCAGCCACCGCAGCCGGGATTCGATCCCACGACCTGCGGGTCAGAAGCCGAGTACCTCAGCCCCTAGACCCCCGCAGCGGAGTGCTGTTGAAGGTTTGTTCATAGAGTATGGTTCCTCCGTAATAATCTAGTTGTTCACGGGTTTTTCATCTCTTCATGCACTCCACCTTCTTACGACCTTCTGCCTTGTCTATAGAAATAGGAAGTGGAAATTTAAGACAACCCTCGCAGTGTCAAGATAACGACACTGGTTATGTTGTACGGTGCACTCTCGATAGGAATCAATGCCTCTCATCGCTACTGGCACACCTGCGCAGGCTTCAGGAGTGAAACAAACGCCCTGATACAATTTTATCCTGATTGAAAAGTTTGCACTGGATTGAAAATAATCTTGTATACGTGACGCCGGTATGCAACTAGCAGATCGCTATCAAATAAGACAGTAGTTTATATAGCGAAAGTGTTCAGGTGCATCGCCCGTTCCCTCTGCAATGACGGTTACATATGCAGTTCAACAAACTACCACTTAACACGAATTATTAAGAATATATACAAAGCGTCATATAAACATTAAGAATATACACACCACGCTTAACGCGTTTTGTCTATATTCGTAGTATTTATGTGACCTCTTCATCCCCCTTAAACGCTTTATCGAACTTCATTACCACTGGCGCTGTGACAAACAAAACCAGAAAAAAAAAACAATGGATAAGTAAATTATTAGTGATAGACTTGTGGACCAAAATTTGTAAACACTGGTCTTATTTATTTATGTTTAACGCATAGTTCTGGTTTTGCATTGTGAAGAGTCTGTGTTTTGCCAAAGGCAAGCGAGAATACGAGTATCGCACTTTTTTTTTCTGGAGTGCTCACACTGAGTACCACATAAAGCTAAAAAAATTTCGCTTCAAAAAAAAAAAAAAAAACTTCGTGTTACGCAGCACCGAATTATCGTTCGCATTACAACGACGGAATTACGGTGTGGACAAAGTGGGCGTGACGGTCGTGTTCGGTACATCGCCCGGGAAAGAGAAACCGAACTGGCACTACGCCCTGGTAACACATGTTAGGGTTGCATATATCACCCGGAGAAACCCGTACAATGATTCAAAATATCGATTCAACGGCATGCAGACAGACACGCTTTTGATCCAACTGTGCACCGGCCGGCAAGAGCGGTAAGTGCCGCATCGATTCGTGGTGCAACGGCGATGACAGATGCGCTTCGCAATAATCGGCTCATCGTACGTCGCCGTGCAAATTGCCTCACACATACATAAGTTTTCCTGCTCGATCAGAAGCAATCACTGGCGACATCTCGCCGTGCTTGATTTCGTCGAAGTACGCACACCATCACCAATGCAGCAGAGGCGTCAGCCAGAGGACACGCCGGCGGCCGAAAAGCAATGTGCGCGCTTCTTGCCGAAAGATGCACGTCGGTGTACCAAAACAACGTCCTGCTTCGTGAAAAAACCCCAGATCTGTTCTTACGACTGTGGAGCATGTGCAGGGAAACAAGCGCTTGCAAGGAGCGGCGAGCTTAGGCGTTGCACGGAGAGCGCTTCACTCGATCGTGTTTCGGAATCGCCGCCCGAAATGAAGCCGCACGACGCGCGGCACAAGACAGGCGCAGCGCGGCGCGCGTTGTCGGTGCGTAGGTATTTCGTTCCACCGATCCGCGCACGGTAAATAGAGAAGCGCCCGGACTCACCCTGTTTGTCCCGCATGACGCTGCTAGTGTGGCGCGCGAGCTTGCGCAGGTGCAGTTTCGAGCACTATCCTCGGAGTTCGCGCCTACGACGTCAACCCGAGGAGGACACGAGCGGATAGGAACGGTTGCGGAGCAGAAGCTGCCATCTTTTTGCTGTTGCCATGGAGACACGCTCCGGCAGCAGACCCTCCCTCTTTTTTGAGGCGTCGCTCCTCCCGCGGTTTCGATAGTGGCGAAATGCAGAACTACGTTTACCTTTAAACTCTTGTGTAATGTTTATAATAAACGTCTCAATTTAAAACAATAAAAATAAAAGTGTATTTAAGATATAGTAATTAAAGTTTGTGTGTGATAATTATTGAGCTTCAAACTATTCAAAACTTATGTGACGTCACCACCGCAAAAGCCCAACCTCCGAGATTCTCCTTGAAACAAAGCTAGTTATTTTGTGTATTTTACTACGGCGTGAAAGTGTCTGAATAATTTAAAACATTATGTGAGCTTAGGCATTTGTTGAGCGACTAAGGCTTTTAAATGATAGTCTCTGAGGTTATGTAAAATAGGCATTATAACTACAAAGTTTTATACAAACTCTATGAATATTACTAAATGGTAATTAAAGTGTAATTTTTGTGATTTTTTTACTTGGTTTACTGGCTCGAGCAGGATAGATAAAACCAGCCAAGGACCGTTGAACCTGTACAGCCTTTATTGGCACTCAAAATAATTTAATGAAACGTAAAATTTATCTACTAATAATTTATTAATTATGTATTAAGAGTGTTTTGGGTAAACAAACGTAAACAAGTTTTTTTTGTATGATTGGTGGGTTTTTGTAACACAGCTGGCAACTATGAACCAAACGCGTCGTCTTTTCGGTCAAGAGCCGCTGTACACGTTGTCACGGTATGTAACAAGCTCTCTCAGTAGCACGCGCTTTTTCGCGTCCGCAGTCGCTATCCCTTCTTCTATTGCTCAACTTGCCTACTTATTTCACTGCCAGCGCATAAACTTCACGGTAAGAGTTTCGTAAACGCGCTCGATAGGTTGCAATTTGCGCCCTTTACCAGATGCGCCCGCCTATGATCGCTATGTTTACTCGTCGGAAAAAAAAACTGTCACTCACCGACCCGACTCCTTTTGAGTTATGTTTCGTTTCTAGACGTGAACCCGAACACGATACATCTGGAAAACTAACACTTTTTGAATGTCTCAGGATATCGCTAGCTGTCGGTGCACCCGCTGACGTCTGTTGTCAGGAAGTGAAGTGCGCTTTCATGCGCAATGTGAATTTTTCGCTACGTTCTTATTGATCTTAGCAGTATTGACGTGTTTGAGATGCAAAATTAGAACGAAGCAAGCCCTGTAACTTCTGCCCGACTGCCGATGGCATAGGCACATTGCTACTTTCGCTTGTCGAAACCACCTTCGCTGAGGCACGTGCGTTATTTAGCGGAGCAGGTTTAGCGATTCAGCATCGACGATATGAAAGCTTTCCGATTCGCCTGCAAGACATAAGTGCACTTGCCTGCGTAGCTTTGTGTGTGCTACCGATTGTGTTTAAATCGCTCGCATCTCGCTCAAGAAGCATGATCCGCCTAAACCGAATGACCAGTGTTTGACAGCTGGAACAGAATAACGTCGTCATGTACTTTTTGTTGTTAGCTTGCTATAGCAATTCATGTTTTTAGACTGTGCCAAGTCTTGCTGTGGTGAAAGCGGCCGTTAAGCCCAAACGAGTTCCAATGAAACCAAGTTGCGTGAAGGCTCTGGGCTGTTCGCGAAGGTTGCTTAGTACGTACGAGCTCAGTAGCTTGCACACAACGCGCGTCAATATTTTATATTTCTTTTCCTTTGTGTTTTTTCTACACGACACTAATTCTGGCAATTCGTACTTCGATCATTTATTCGTTTATTAGTACAGGAAAAGCACATGCAACCAGTGCCTCCCCGATAGTACTAAACTACGTTCTCCCGAAGTGCATTCTAGTGCCGTTGGAATTCTTGAGCATTTGCGAAAACAGTCACTGTTCAAGCACCAAGGCTACCGGAATCTTTTCATACGTTGACCATTACGTTAACTTTAAGCCTGTCTGTAATCGAAAGGGGTAGTGCGTGATGGTTTAAAATATGCATGATACTGTAACATCGAAGAGAACTGCTGCACAGGAGTGAGCAATAGTGACTGCTCTGTTGGTGTTAAGCGATACTGTTCGTTTGGCTTACCCAATTCCACTTGTTGTTGTGCTTCGGTTCCTGTATTGGCCTTTTCTTTGTGTTGGGTGACTAACTACTGTATTTCACTTCGTCACTGCAGATGCTGAGAATCCTTGCTGGCGTTCTCTGCCTGTTGTTGGTCCACGCAGCAGAGGAAGAGGTCACAGAAGCACGGTTACTTGTACAGAAGCGGATACTCAACAAATTTCTTGTTGAGGGCAAGGACATCATTGTTGACTACAACATCTACAATGTTGGTGGGAGGTAATACGTCTCCTGCCTAGCCACCTGTGGTCATTTTGTTTGGTGTTAATGTTGCATATGTAATGTGCAAAAAACTGTTTAGAGCTAGCAGACTTTTTCTGAAATAACGAGTAGAAATGGTGTGCTGTAGCTAATCTAAATGAGCTAACCTTTTGCTCACAATTTCTCTGTCCAAAATAAATTTAAATGATTTGATACTGTGTGTTTAAACAGCACTTCTTAATAAAGGAAAATGTGTTAATCAGCTGTCCAGGTGTATGAGGTGTGCTGAAAAAAATAAGGTATTGAATCGTCTGATATTCACTAACTGTTTCTGTGTGACAGTAAGGCCATTGTGGAACAATTATTCTTGCATCAAAGAGTGAAGAGGTTCAGCAAACTCGCAATAAATTGAGTTACTTTAGACAGGCACTCCAAAGTATTTAAATATTACTTACATAGAGAGGCACTCCAGGGTACTTAAATACTACATTTCATTTTATTGTCTTGCATCATAATAAATATGCTGAAGGTGTTCAGACCGTTTGCTGGGAATAATTTTTTAATGCATCCTCTCAAAAGTGTTGTCCTTTTGCCTCTTACAGTGCGGCCCTGGACATTAAGTTGTCGGACAACTCCTTCAATCCTGCATACTTTGAAGTCACCAGTGGTCTTCTGAGCTTCAAACTGAACAGGCTTGCACCGTATCCTTCAGTGAAACTATCTTGTCTGCTAGTTAGTGTGAAAAATTCAGGTGGCAGTAGTGTGAAACACCATCATGAGCGCTGTCCAACGTAGTTTAAGAACCTGGTTATCTACATATCATGAATATGCAATTGTTCTGCTTGTTTACTTTGCCTGTGAGTGAAAACAAGTGCACCGAGTAATTAAGGTATTTTGCCATGCTTGTGTGGAATCGGCACTCACCATGCGGATTGGCTAGGCTTGTAGTCGTTCGCGCTGCTTGCTGTGCTTAGCTTTGAGGCAACCTTGCTGTCATCACTACACTGCTATCGAAGTGTGACGAACTCTTAAGGTGCGACAGCTAATGGCACATCTATTGTGGTTCGGCACTGTTGATAGTGTTCGACAAATGTTAATTGTATTGTGTTATAGTGAATAAACACGTGAAGGCCCTGTAATTTAATCTGAAACCTGTGATTTTTTTCAAGTTCACTTGCTGTTGTTGCATGTACAAATATGGGCCTGCATAATACATTCCACATCAGGAATTCCCAAAGTGTCAAATTACATGCCTTGACTGTCAAATGATAGCAGCTGTAGTATTTTGCAACTTTGCCAATATCAATTGTGGCAGCAGTGGTATGTGTAATGGAAACTTGCCGAGATTTTTAGCCGTAGGCAGTGAGAGATATTTTGTAATTTAGGTAACCGCAGCCCTTGGTGAATGAAGTTGTGTGCAGTGCGGGCACATAAGGTACGTTCAATTTTTCTGTGCCTGTTCCTTTTGACAATTTTGTCTCACGTCTGTGATACAGGTATTTTATAAGGTTTTATTGACTGGTAGGCTGAGCAACTAATCCATTGAAGGTCTCTGCACATTGTAACTTTATTTCGTAATCAGATTATTGCTATGTATTATTTTTTCGTATGAACGAAGCCATTCCACACAGACCTTACAGAATCATTCGTTTAATAGATTTCATGAACTGACCTGTCACGAAAAAAAGTTTGCCTTGTGAAATGTCTGATAATACTTAGCTATTGCAAGTTTAAAGCACTTACATAAAAAAAGCCAGCTTTGTGGCTAGGGCAAAGCACTGAAGGCATTTAGCGAAAAATTGGAACGTTCTACGAAAACTAACAACTGTCTCCATTCCATTAGCATCGGACCTGGCCTAACTGAAATGAACAAACAAACAAAAAAATTCCCCCATATCCACGAAGTGAATGATGATGAGTGGGCGAAGCTCCGGAGGTAAACCTGGTAAACCATGAATCCTCTGTACATTTTGCCCACTCGATTTTATTACATCGCTCCCCCTAGCGTACGTCGCCGCACTAAATCGAACGATTGCCTTCAACTAATGACGCGCAGCATATGTGACATCATTCCTATTTTATAAGATCTCGCGTCTTTCATCAACTACAAGTACCGCTTTCTAGTTTATAACATCTTGCATCTTTTCATCATCAGCTACAAGTACCACCATCTAGTAAACACTACAAGAACTAAACGAGAGGTGGCTACATACAGGAGACGGTACCGCCATCTAGTGAACACTGCAAGAACTAAACTAGAGGTGGCTACATACAGGGGACGGTACGGCCATCTAGTGAACACTGCAAGAACTAAACTAGAGGTGACTACATACAGGCTTCAGGGGACGCACAGCCCACGCCCTAAGGAGCTTCGCCCCTAAAAACGGCTTGACCAAACACGACTGCTGCAGTGTGTGAAGCGACCTTTATGCTGTCTATTGCTTCAACCTAAAACTCAGCCACGAGAATACAGCGCATACAAAAGTGTGAACTGTCTGCTGATCCTTGTCAAGATAGGGTGCGTGTGACCATGGCTGGCTGCTCAACGTATACAGTTCTTTTCGTAGCGATGTGGCTGCCCCTCCTCCCCTAGGGTCTTTTGTGCAATGAAAGACAGCTGGTGCATTCCCTCTCACTTGGGCCACAATTGTTGGCTTCCTTCACATGCTTTCACGCATAAGATGTATGACATACAGGTCAACGTTGATTCCCCTGGACTTGATTAGAAACCTCACGGTGCCTGGAGTCTTCATATACTAGTTGCTACCACATTGAGGTGTTCATATTAGGTGTGTACCAGAGTAAGTATACCAAGTTGCCTGCAGCATGTGCTTGGAACATGTTCAGCATGTACTGTGCTCTTCCTTAATCAACGCACACAGTGGAAGCAACGTCACTCATACGGTCATCATTAGGCCTCTCACATTCGGCTACTTCAACTTCACAAGTGCTGATGTTTCCTACAGGACATCTGAAGACAGCCAAGAGGTTCAGGTATGCCTAACACTTGCTTACCTGCCACATTTACTCAAAAAAAAAAAACTTCATGCCTCGTGGTTTGACCCAATTGCAATAAACAACTAATACATTACTAACAAGTCAAAAGTGGCTGAACATTTTTATGCTTACTCAATGAAAAAAATGTGCATTTGTTCAGAATAACTTTATCCTGGAACTTTGTGTTCAGGGACTAGTATATTAATTCCAACATTTGCGTGCTGGCTTTCAGTTTGCCCATACCGCTGAGCCAGGTCAAGGTGGAGTTATGCCAGTGCGTGACTTTGACCGGAAGTTCTCGCCACATGTGGTAAGCGGCTTTTGAAGAACAAATAATTCTTTGGGCTGCTGGCATTGCATCCCTTTTGTTGCTCGTAGTATAAATTTTGCCACTGTTGCTCGAACTAAAGATATGATAAATGCAGATGTACACCTTGAAGTGGTGAAATTCAGGAAAGTACTGCTGGTAGTAGTTTTTTATTGATGAGCTTTATATCAATCAGACTTACAACTTGCGATGACTGTTTCAGAAAAATTTGTTAGCAAAATATCGAAAGGCTACGGCTAGCTCTGTATAGCGATGTTGTTGCAAGACTGAAGGCACAGCGGAGCTGTATTTACTGTTATTTGATGGTTTCACTATTTTTGCTAGGTTATGCTATATCGATATTTGCCAAGTTCGTGAAGCCATGCCAATCTTTAACATTCTTTATATTACAATGCTCATGCTATTTAAACATGGACAATGTAACAGGTAACTAAATTCCTGCTTGTTCTTTCTGTATTCTCACTGTCATTGTCTTCCTTTGAGATACTCAGGGTCACCTTTGGCTCATCAATATCATTTAGCTCTCTTATTAGCCCAGTATTCTGGATTCGCTCTCTATCTACGGTTGTTTTCTGACATGGCTTCAAGACATAGTTCTCTTTTCGCAGTGTTTTCCCTAAGGAAAAGATACTTTCTTGAGTCTGCCCAAGGCGACTTCAAGCTTGAATTTGTGGCATGAGGGCCGCACACCAGCCTTTATACAAGTGGTGATGGCCCAATCATTTGATGTATACTAGTGGGTGCACAACCTGGCAGCAACCAGTTGACCGAGCCTCGTTTATAGTGTTTATAAGCTGTGCACAGTCAGGTTACAAAGGAGCATGAGTGTTGCATCACTAGGCGTCGCGCGGCATCAATGGCGCGTATGGTTATCATGGCGATGAGCAGTGATGTCATCACTAGATGAGGCGGTTTTTGGATTCAGGAGGCACGTGGTGCTCGGCTTAAACAGCTCCTCCGTTAAAATGTAATATGTAACAAAATGGCAAGTTGAGCTAGTTGGTGCATATTCATACATTTTTTAAGAAAAGAGCGTATGAAAAAAAAAACGAAGACAAAAAAAGCAAGAGAATGCACACAGCCCTGCACTCACAACCGAAAGTTTATTCGAAGGAAACGTAAACTATAAGCGAGAAAGCTGTGCATCACAAGTGCATGTTTTAGTGAGCTGAACTTTGTTAATCTTTTGCAGACTGACTGGCTTGCTTTTGCCATCATGACACTGCCATCTCTTGGGATACCCTTCGTGCTTTGGTTCAACAGCAAGTCGAAATACGAAAACATCGTGAAGCAGTTTAAGAAGCACTAGGACTCTTATTTGTGGGGGTTTGGAAGGGTTCATTGTGGTACCTGTTTCTTCTTTTTTTTTTTTGTACCTCAATGTTTTTGTATTAAAATACAAAATGTACATTTTCTGTGTCTGGCTAGCTGAGATTTTTTTTTATACCTGGAGTGCTGTAAATAGGTAGCTTTGATGTTGCCACTGATTAGCTGAAGCTTCAAAAGAAAAAAATATAGAATTTGCTTCTGTTTGCTCATATGACGCAGCCGTAAATATTACATAATGAAATACTACTAGAAATACCTGGCATCACCTCGAGAGGCGATATGTGCTGTAGTAACAGCACAACTGTGCGACAACTGTAGGAAGAGACAAAATGGGCAGGAAAGAATTATTTCCCTGTCCATTTTGTCTCTTCCTATAGTTGTCGTACTGTTACTACAATACTACCATGATGAACCAACTTGCCCAAATTACAGTAGACTCTCAAATGAAAATCTGTTAAACGGAACTATTGCCTCTGCAATGCTTGGTTTCTAGCTTGCATTCTGCACCCATGTTCACCTATCAGTAACCGGCATTCCTGTTAAATGGAACACATTTTCCCAGTCCCTTCAGGTTCCATTTAGTACTGAGATTCTACTGTAAGCTCTTGTTGAGATTGACTGATGGATCATGGGAGAAGCCTTCGTCCTGCAGTGGACATAGTCAGGCTGATGATGAGATATGTGCAAGGCGGCAATTGGGCATATTTTGTAACTACTATAAGAAGCAAGATTAGAGTATAACTGATAGTTGAAAGACGACTGTAACAAGCTGAAAGTTGTTAGTAGTATTGAACTTCTTTGACCCCAGGAATACCGTCATTGCCATTTTTATTTCACTGATTGTGTCCGAGTGCACAAAACTTTCTAAGAACAGTATTTACATGACCTTATTCATATTGGTATTTCAGAGCACTTAGCAGACAAAATACAAGAGATACACGCTTTTATAATACTAAAATTGATCAGTACGAACGTGCCCAAATTTCTGCACTTCTGAACATGACCTTATTGTTCCCTCTTTGAAATAGTATGCAACTAAGTTAAAGATGAAATCTCAGTGTTGTTGGTGCACTTATTGAATATATAACTGAACTTGGTTTCAATAGCGACAACTGTAACAAAAATCCACATAAATTCCTGGCAACACTACAGGTCTGCAGAGGCCTGTGAAGAGGAGAAGATTCCCTAAATTTTATAAAATATGATCTAAGAGTAGCAAAAAACAGCACAAAAAAATTTTCGTCATAAAGAAAGCCTCAAAGAGCAAAAAATTCCTCCTAGTCTTATGACTATGGGACTGATGCTTTTTTTCAGGGTAACCTTTGTACAAATAGTGAAGACAACCAGTATGCTTTCACATATTGAATATGGCTATAATAAACAGACAACTTGGATGATTGATATAGTGAGGTTTAATGTCCCCAAACCACCATATGATAATGAGAGACTGCCACAGTGGAGGGCTCCAGAAACCGGACAACTTGGAAGCTGAAGGCTGCTCGTTCATGGCTAAACTATAATCTTTGGCTATAATACCGATACCATGACTTCTGATCAAATCTGCATGGATGTTCAAGTGTCTTCTGAAATTAGTAATGCTAAGATGCACATTAACCAAACGGACTAGTGCGATATTGGGTAAAGCGCAGTGTCCACTCGCTGATTCGCAATGAAGAGGAGATAGCACTTTTCAGAATTGTACAGAAGACAGATAAGCAATGTACAGATAAAAAGAAAAAGCTTTAATGATAAGCTTTTCTGAAAAAAAAAAAGGACACTTGTTAACAGCTTTCACACAGCTCTGCATAGTTAGGCCTGTGTAAAAGAAAAAATAAAAACTGCCAACTTCTGCAATGTTTCTACAAAACTAAAATGTAGCTAGAATGGAAAACAACACTAGGCTGATGAATATAGCCGCTCTGGCCACAATGACACTAGCCTTCAGTTCTCTTCGATCATCCTCACAAGGTTTTCATCCACATTGCAAACAATGTGAAAAAGTACAAGGTGCTTCAGCGATTGTGCTTGAAGCACCAGAGATCTTGCCAACAGTGTTCTCAAGCTGCGCACAATCCAGATGGTGAAGTCTATTCACTTTCCTCAGATTAGCACAGTGGGTTAACTTAGGCCTCTAGTTACCTTTGAACGAAAGTAAGAAGACACAATCTCTTCATCTTGTAACAGAAGCAGAATTCGTACAAAGGATAATCGTTGAGGTCTTGTGGTTCTTAATCACACTTGAACACTTCGCTGCTTTCAAGCTCTATGCAAAGGAGACCTATAGCAATGTTGAATTTAAAATGCAAAAATCAGATACGTTCCACGTAATTGGCAGGGAAGAGCCCCTCCTTGCCTCTTAGTCGACCAAGCCACCAGCCTGATGGGTCTGAAAAGAGACATTTACACCATGGTAAGGACCACAAACTAAACGTTACAGAATTTAAAGCTATCCTACAGTAACAACCACACTGTGATGGAAGATCTAGAAACAACATCAACCTATACAACCTGGTCTATACAACCCGGTACATGCTTCATTTACGTGCCATTCTCAAAAGTATGGAGTGATGAAATTCTAGCCTCAGTTTTTTTTTTTTCTTTCATGCTTTAAAAGGCAAATATGGGTAAATTTTAACTAGTAAACTGCATTTCTGTGGTATTACGATGTTTTAATTAAGCTTGTGTGAATATTCGAATGAATATCACAGTATTCGAATTTGCATCAATTGAAACTTAAATTATTGAAAATTTCAAAGTATTCAAGATAAACAGATAAATAAAGTCGGCATATAACCCCTGTAACGGTGGTTTCACAACAGTAAAGAAGTGCTATGCCGTGGAAACACCTACTCTAAGTTTGACTGCCGCGAAGCCCCACCTCAAGGTTAAATGAGCATACTACCCTCGCATTGATTCATCATTTTTTAAAGTTAAAAAATTGTTGTATGGGCTTACATGCTTGAAGTATGGTAAATTCTAAAACATAACAAACCTAATTTACAAGTTATCACTAGCATTCTCATGAAAGTCAAACCCTGGTACTATTTTCAAAAGTTGTTCCCACTTTCTTTGAACGAAAAAGGACATTCGCATAGACCTTGATTTCAATTTAAAAAAATATTGTACAAATTAGTTAGGTCATGACAAGTATGCCCATTTGTCTTTATAATATATGATATGTAGTATTCGATTCGAGATTATTCAACCAAAATCACTGTTCGCTTCAAACCTAAAATTCACTCATTGCATAAGCCTAGTTTTAATATCTCGAGTGTCACAAATATATTTTATTAATACACTACTTTTAATAATAAACAGTGAAAACGCTACAGACCTTGAACAGACCAGGAAGACATGTTATGTTACACTTACTAGGAGTGCCGTTAAGCAAAAAAGTTGCAAAGGCATGCAGCGAAAACTTCCAAGTGCACTCACGATTTGGCTTCAAGAGTGAAGTGCGATAGTGTACCATTAGGCCTCATTTGTGTTACCTTCTGATTCGCTCAACATTCTTCAATTCACAGCAGATATTTTAACCACGTGCCGCAAAGGAAAGAATGTGTATGCGACATTGACCATTGCAAACTTTCCGATGGTGCCTACTGCAAGTACAGTCACGAAGTGCCTACTGCATTATAATTCATCATTTTGAAAAGTACTCACTACATGTCAGTAATGGCAATAAATGCATCTTGCACACTGCTGCACACTCTGTAGATACTGTGGCTGATGATTATTAATTAAGGCTGAGCATTTTGTATGGGCGGGCCTTTAAAACCACCATACCACAACAATTCACAGGGTGTGATGCCTGGTGTGATTCTACGCTATTGCGATGCAATACTACATCTGTTAACGTGACCACATGACACCTATACACGCAAAGGGTTTTTTTTTCCATAGCACTTTCACACAATGGTGCGGTTTTGGGATGGTACACTTGACTGCCACACATAATACCAGAGTTTGATTTAAGCATGGACCTTCAGTATCATCATTTGCATCATCCATCACAATCTTTTGCTTATGGTCATTCCTATGCCCACACTGGGATTACTGCAACATGTGCTCTGTAGGTCTGCACAAAGCGAAACTGAGAACTATGAATGCACTCAACCCACGCCCTGCAAGACTTCTTCATTCTGGCATAGTAGAACTAATTTGTTCTGCACAAACACAAATACTATTGCACTAATAATAAAAAGAACTAAAAGGCAGCTAATATTCCACTTATGCAGTGATTCCGTTCAGGTGATTTGCATTAAATGAAGTTCCATTGTGACTGATTACAGTGTAGCTTTGAAAGTCAAGCAGGGGACCATTACATCACCAAAAGCCACCATATTGCCCCATTCTAAATATGTGCTCCATTCAGGAATGCAGGGGAGAATTTTCCCCCTTCTAATTCCACCAAGTTCTGAATGAACTCCAATATTTGTGCAGTGTTCGTAGTGTTTGTGTGTACATCAGTAATGTCTGGCACAATGAGAATGCCGCATCAAGCAGGCGTGACATCTTCCTGCAAGTCCATAGTTGCGCTGTACTCGGCATGGGTTTTAAACCAGTTGTATGAAAATGTTACCTGTTACAATCTCAATGATCTCTTGCTTCATGGTGTCATTGCCGGGCTAACACTTACTTGCTAAATGAAAATTCTCGTGAGACAGAGTTCAATGTTTGGGTGAGTACAACTACCACTGGGATATTTTGAATAAGAATGTTTGAGAACTGTAGCCCAATAACACATGTTGGTGGGTTAGTTAGTACATGATAATTTAATAAAACTGTGGCTCACCAAAATACAAGACACAACACACGACATATAGAAGGGGGTGCTTAAGTTTTCTTGCAACTGTGGATTTTTTCTAGAACAACACAGGTCTTAGCACAGCTGTAGAGCACGTGTGCAATAGGCACAATCAACAGCAGTCTCTGAGAAAGTTATATATGCATATTTCTACAAATCACAATCTAAGGATCATTTGCACAATGATCACTTGACTTTTTATAAAATAGAATAATGAAATGAAGTCGGGATACAGTTGCACATGAGTTGACCAACGCCTACACTTCTATTGTGCTTCTCAGCAGCATACAGAAATTTACATTTTATCTGTTGCACATATGTTTCATACTTTTATGTATGTAGTATTGATCTGAGTTCTGTGTCCTGCAAATAAATACAAGCTTAACACACATCAAACAAAACTGTGCAGAAAGTCAAGCATACAAAGCCAGCAAGAGATCACGCCAATCAAATGTATAAACGAACTTAACTCGACTTTCGAGAAACAGAATGCGGTGTAAGGAAAATAGAAATGAAAGTGAGTGTTTGCAATGACACCTGTGGAAGCAGAGCCCACCACCTGCTGCTCACACGGAATGAGCTATAGCTGTGTCCTCCCATGCACTTTCTCAAGATGTATATGTATGGCAGCAGACATAATGTTTATTTTAATCATAAGTGTCACACAGCACATGAATTTAGCACTAACAACCAGTCAATAAGCCAGGATAGCGATTTACTTACACAGTGTCCTTAGTCCTTATGCACTTTCCTCCTACAGACCAATCGCGTTAGCCAGCTGCGTCGGAAAAGTGATGGAAAGAATGGTACTGGCACGATTAGAGTGGCTTCTAGAGAGCAACAACTCCTTTCCTGCATTTATGAACAGCTTCAGAAGAGGCCGATCTGCCATTGATGGTGTGGTCGACTTGTTCACCAGCGTTGAAGAGGAAAGAAGCCGACGCAGACTAGTGGCGGCGGTCTTCTTAGACATCAAGGGTGCCTACAATAATGTGCTGCATTATGTGATCCTTGACGCACTGGAAGATTTCGACATCGGTGGACGACTGTACGCTTGGATTTTTAGCTACCTTAGGGACCGCACCATTTACATGACGACAAGTAACGGAGACACCGATCGATATAAGGTTCATCGTGGTGTTCCCCAAGGAGGAGTTCTCAGCCCGATCCTATTCAATGTCACAATGATCGGCCTAGCAGCAGAACTTCCCAGCACGGTGAAGATCACTGCATACGCTGATGACATATGCATATGGGCATCCGGAACTACTCGTCCGCAATTGCAAGCTCGACTACAGCGTGCAGTGACGATCACATACAAATATCTACGACGTCAGGGGCTCACTCTTTCAAACGACAAATGCGCAGTGCTTGCGTTCACGCGCAAGCATATGTCGCAATACCCGATATTTATTGATGGGACAGCAATACCTGCTGTAACGCACCACAAGTTCCTTGGGGTTGTCGTACACAGAGATCTATCGTGGATGAGGCATGTCGCAGTACTTTAATCTAAATTGAAGGGCTTTGCTCTCATTCTTCGCCACGTAGCAGGAGCAAAATGGGGCCCATCAGGATCATCGCTACTTCAATTGTACAATGCTCTATTTGTGGGATACATTCGATACAGCATGCCGGTGCTCTCCAATATGAGACCTAGTTGTGTGAAGACACTAGAGAGTGTTCAAACTCAATGCTTACGAAGATGCTTGGGTCCACCGCGCTGTATACTTCAACAAATGGGACAATCGCAGAGGCTCGGGCTTGTCCCATCAGTGTATACATGCTCTGCGAACCACTTAGAGTTCACCTCCGATTACTGAGCAGACACAGACAGCACCCACTGTCAGTACTACCCGCCACTCACCCAGATGGCAGTTTCTCAAGAGTAATATTGCGGCATGAAAATATTATACCATCAAAGTTTTCTCCGCCAAATGCCCCTGCAGTGCCTCTATGGGTCCTGCCTAAACCACCTGTCTCTTTTACAATACCTGGAATTACGAAGAAGTCGCTCATTTCTTCTGTTGGCCTCAGACAACTGACCCTATATCACATTTATACAATGTACAGTGATTCTCTGCACGTGTACACCGACGGATCCACCACGCTAAACACCTCCGCCGCAGCCTTTGTTATCCCAGACATGGATATCGCTCGACGATTCAAAGCGGACCATAAAACCACATCAACTGCCGCAGAGCTTGTCGCTATCCGGGAGGCAATAAGGTTTATTTCCGGAGAGCGACCTCGAGCCTGGACGATTTTCTGTGATGCCAAACCCGCTTTGCAAAGCATTAATTGCATCATGAAGCAAGGTCCGTATTACAGCTTTGCAATAGAAATCACAAAACTTATTCAGGTTGCTTCAACAAATGGTCATCTTATAACTTTCCAATGGATTCCCGCTCATTGCGGCGTGATGGGAAACGAAGAGGCAGACGCTGAAGCTAAAAATGCCTTAAGCAGTGCCCCTGAAGTACGCATTGCGTTTTCACGAGCTGACACGAACGCCCTGCTTCGCTGCATGATGCGCAGCTACACACTTCCGTACTGGACCAAACCGGAACGGCGACACCAGCGACTTCACAAATGGGACCCGGAAATGAGGTTCCGCATGCCTCCTAAATTGAAAAGGCAACTCACAAGTATGATCCACCGCATTCGTCTTGGTGTAGTGTACACCAGACGTTACGCACATATCATCGGTCGCAGTGACACCGGTCCTAATTGTGAACACTGTGATGTGCCAGAAACACTTGAGCACATATTTTGTGTCTGCCCAGCATACGCACGTGAACGACAAACATCGATTTCTTCTACTGAACTATATCGCAGCAGGTCATTAACTGATGAGACCATGTTGGGCCCTTGGCCAGACACCAACAGTGCAACTGCGGTCACAAGAGCAGTTATAACCTTTTTGGAAACAACTGGACTATGTGCACGGCTATAAAATGTGTCTCAGCTAGAAAGAACACTACATACTCACCTCTCTATCTCACCATCGTCATCCATTAACCTTTCTTTTCCACTTTCCCTTCCCCCAGTGTAGAGTAGCAGGCTAGAGCAAGCTATCGTTCAGGCCGACCTCTCTGCCTTTCTGTAAATAAACTTACCTCCTCCTCCTACTTACACAGCTACACAAAGCTACAGCTAGTATGTGTCCACAGATTGTTGGGCATACAAGGCCTCCACTGTTAGTTTATCTGAAGCTTTTCTTTGCTCCACAGACATTTAGCTCTACATGGTCATTGATAACAAAGATTTAGCCCCACGGTACCTAATTCTTATGCAAACACCAATATTCATAGTGAAGACTGATGCTCAATATTTTGCCATCACTCACTCAATATTTTGCCATATAACTACACAAAAAAATAATTAAAGGAAAAGGCTGCACACACACACACACACGCACGCACGCACACACACACGCACACACACGCACACACACACGCGCGCGCACACTTTAGGACGAGTGCACAGAAACGAAGGCGAACCAGCGAGTGCACAGAAACGAAGGCGAAGGGTGCGGCACAAGCGCTTGTCTCCATATCCTTTCTCGTAAATATTTTGCACAGTCTTTTTTTTCCAAGTATGCATAACACACCAGGTCAATAGTGCAGCAGGTCAAGTGGCTTTTCACCATCTAAGAATCTCCCCCCCCCCCCCCCCACCTTGCCAATGGTGTTGCCGTGTACCCGAACACTCAAACATGTTGATGGGTCACCAGAACTGCGTGAGCTTTTGCTTCTCCCTATCTCTACCACTGCGAGAGTGCATGCTTGCGTCACGGCATGGGCAACTTCTGAATCAGAGGCGTGCGATGGCCTGACCTGTCGCGCCAACTGTTTCTCTCGTTGTCTATGTCCGTGCTGCAACACACGCTTGGTCGATTTCAGAAGTTTATGTTTCCCCATATGGCCGACGCGTTTCTGTGGTTCTCTTGCGATGTGCTGCATGCAGTAAATATATGTACAGTGAAATTGAAGCTCGCTGTTGTAAATTTTGCTGCAGAAAACGGGAACTGCGTCGCTGCAAAGCACTTCGAGGCGACATACTTCAACACATGATGATCGGCTTGATCGGTATGCGAGAAAACAGAAGAGTGCTTGCTTGCTAATACAAGTTTCCTGCCAGTGAAGAAGGCCTTTTTAATTATATGCGAATGCCAGGGTCTTCCGGCACCACCGTGTCGTCGAACCTAGTTTCTCCCAGCATTGTCGAGAAGAGCTTCAAGAAAATGGGGCATTCGAACGTGCTCGACAGAATCGAGGACAACGTGCTTTGGGAGGGTGGTCTGGGGTAGCGGCAGCAGCCGCGACGATGATTCCCAGCCAGACTTCGCGATCAGTGACCTCACAGACTGTGCGTGACCGGATCTGACTCGTTCAAGTACGTGCCAATTCTTTTAAATTAACAAGTAAACTTAGTGTGTGCTCAAATTTATTCCATTATTATTTTTTTAACATATGTACTGCACGTGTTAGAACTGTGAGACAATATTTTTCAAACGCTCACAAAATTCCTGCGTACTTTGCGCACCCCCCTCCTCAAGGCCCCAAAATCGCAAAAAAAATCTGAGCAAATTATGCGAGTAAATATAGTACTTATTCCTGAGAACACAGATACCAACCTTCTTTGAGGATTTCGATGATGTCACCTTCACTAACTGCCAGCTCGTCTGTATCCTGAGGCTCGTACGCGTATAAGGCCTTGCATGTGGGCACTGCCGGCTTCGGCCTGCTTGGCGGCTTTGGCTTGCCACCACCTGGGACTGGCCTTGCTTTCTGTGAGTTCTTGCGCTTTTCCCTGGGGTACACACGTTCACACAGAAAGGGCAGTGAGTGAATGATGACAAAACCCCGTGTCAATTTTAGACAATAACAAGGAGACAAAGCATACCAAGACTGCAATTTGGGCCAGTTAGTTGTACTTAATGATGAAAAAAGCACACACGGACAGAGGAAAGAAGGCATACAAAACACAGCGCTGTGTTTCGTCTACCCTTCTTTCCTACGTTCGTGTGTGATTGCACCGTCGTTCCATCATAAAAAAAACATAGCATACTATGCAGACATAACATGGACACGGGCGCTTGTGTAGTCCTCTTCTCGTGTTTGTGCTTTTGCGCTCCAATTTGTTCCGGAATGAACCAACACACCAGAAAAGCATTTTAGAGAGTTGGGCTTATAGTTTAGAAGTGCCAGAAGTTAGACTATAGCGGCCCTTTCTTCTTTTTTTTTATTGTGAGTCGGCACATAACAATTCTCACCACTTTTGCAGCAAATGAAACCAGTAAAGATGCCAAATCGATTAACAGTAGGTGAAACAGCCTTTTCATAACATCAGCTTTCAATAAGAGCAGACTTCGACAACATCTTCGTCATACTAGTTAAAAGCTTAGTGCTACACCTGCATCACAACGGAAACATCACAACGGAAACATGACAATGGTAACAAACATGGCATGTTATTAGGTATGATGTCCATGCAAAAAGCTCAAAGCTAGGCTTACTAAGCTGTTCAATCACAGTTATGGTTTGCCTAGTTTGCATATTTAAAATTTTGCCTCATGGTTGCTTCTCACAAACCCCAGAGACATGATATGATGTTTGGTTGATTGGTTTATGGGTGGGTTTTAACATTCCAAAGCTATTCAGGCTATGAGAGATGCCATTATAAAATACTATGGGTAATTTTGACAACATGAGGGTGTGTAATGCTCAGTTATTTAATGCACTGTAGATGGGTTGCTAACAATTCATCTCCATCAAAATGTGACGATTGTGGCAAGAATTGAACTGTCGTCTTTAGGGCTACCAGGTGAGTAATGGGCATCTGCACTGGGCCTTAGCAACAGCCTCAACAAGTTGTTCCATCAAATCTGTAAGAGATGACCAGGTGGGCCGATACCCAATGAGCTGAGCTATGAAAATTTAGTTAGGGAATCTCTTAGACTATGGCAAAACTAAGGTGAAATAGTCATAATTCTCACCCTGACACGCCTGCTTCAGGTGGTCTCATGTAGTCTGAAGGGCCATTTCCTTCTGTGGATACCCTTTTGTGCTGACTGTGGCCTGTTCGTGGCAGGTTTGGAGCGTGCCTCATTGCATTTCCTGCCCCTGTAGCTGCTGAGGAAATTAAAGAACCAAATAAACCCATTAAAGTTTCGACCAGTGCGTGAAGGAAAGCGAAAAGGTGGTAAAGATCAAAAAGCGAATATCGTGTCTGGCAAATTCTCGCTTGCATACTCTTTTAATTTAGACGTGATCTAATGCTGCAAAGTTTCTTATCACAAGCACTTTGATAGCTTTACAGTAAGAGACATATTCCGGCAATTCAACAGATAGTGCATATGAAGATGTACATATCAACTGGTCCTGTAAGTTATTTTTTGATCCTCCCTGCCACAAGTATGTATGCAGTCATATAGATACCCCTAGAAGTATAATACTACATACATTTAGTGAGAAAAAGTTGCAATAGTAAATGGTGATGCCCCAAAATAACACAAGCAGATTGCAAACACCAGCTTGAAGTTTGACAAAAGTCACATGTAGTGACGGTGGATTTGTTCTAATCATTCCACATATGTTTCTCAGCTATATTCACAACACTCGCTTTTTAGATCCACGTAGATATTTTTCCCGCATTTCTCCAAACTAGAAACCAGCTTTTCTGGCCAGAAGTTTTACCAGAGGCCTTATACCATATGAAAAGTGATCCAATGCACTACAGCTTGTTCAACAGCCCAGTAAGCACTGAGTGGCACCTTCTACTGGCTAAAGCTCCAAAAGGTAATGAACTCTCTATCAAAAGCTAACAACAGCCACACTTTATTTCAATAGCATTTTGTTCATGAAACAGCACACAACACAAATATCCAAGCCACAGGGTTTACTAACCCCTTGCTCCTATGACAGCTGCAAGAGCGGCGTTCGGAGTCCTGGCAGATGCTGCAGTAGTCACAGTCCGACCTCTGCCATTGTGTTCCTTTAACTTGTTCCCACTGGGCTGCTGGTGTGTCCTTGAGGTGCTCACCTTTGATGGCCTCGGCCCAGAAGATGCTGAGCGCTCCGATGGTCCTAACATGCAGAGAACATTAAGAATTCGAACTTGAGAACTGCAGGTTGGACTTGATTGATATGTAGGGTTTAACGTCCCAAAACCACCATATGATTATGAGAGACGCCGTTGCAGGTTGGACTTGGCAGGCAACTGCATGCACCAAGTCTACGTAGTGCGGCCTGTATGCATGTGTTTCGTGTGTCGATACTCGACCTATTCCCTGGATACCCGAATGTATATTTAGGAGGGCAGACTCATCTTAGACATTTTTTCTTTAGTTCTTTGGTGATCTTGATCAAAGTGCACAGGCTAAAGCTGTTTTTTTTTGCCAATTTCAAATATGTAATTATGCTACTTGTAAGTCATTTTGTTCCTGAAATAACGTAAGCTGACCCCCTATTGTTTAAGGCCACCATAAAAAAATTACTTAATTAAAAAGTGATATTTAAGATATGGCAACAGACTAATGACTATAAATTGAAAGTATGCAAGAGTTTTTTTTTTACTTTCTTGGTTATTTTAAAGCAAAATGAACTTTCCATTTTTAAAAGCAGTTGGAATTGTGTAAAAATTTGATGAGTATTTAATTAAAAAAGCTTGTGCTCTAAATTCTGCTTCCATACTTACATTCTATACACAAACAAGTTTCTATTTCAGAAAACATTATTGCTGTGTCTGCCCTAGCTGCAGAGGTATTGAGGCCTAAAATTGAACAGTTTGAGAGTATGGAAAAAACTGATAACACCCAGTTCCTTCAAGAAACAGCAATCACAATGTGCATGTTTTGCAATGCTCATAAAGGCGCTCATAAATTGGTAGCAGAGCTTCAGACACAGGTGCTAGCAAATTATAAGGAAGCCTCGAAGTAGGTTCCCCCTTTTTTACAGGTTCCGCATTGTGCTAGCTAGCACCAAGAATCTGGACAGTCAGAATGACATTACAAAAATGTTACCACATCCTGATGGGTGAAAATTTGCATAGAGAGAGAAGAATACTCGCAGAAACCAAATATACCAATTTTAAAAATGCATTTCTTTGTCACCTTTCCGGTTCTGAAGACAAGTCCGGCCCCTTAAAGAAGCAGTGACACATAATTTCAGAGGCGTGATAATGAGTGAAATATATTTATGTAGAGACATACACAATATCTACGAAATATCAAGGGCAAATATAGCCTAGAACTTTGTTAAAATCTATTTTAAAGTGCACGCCATGCAACTGAACAAGATCTGAGCCTCTTGCGATGCCGACATAAACGCAGGGCAATGTAAACAAACCTATGGCACGAGTTTGCGTTTGCTAGTTGCTGCCACGGGCCTTGCGCTTGCACTACCTGCAATTTCCTGCTTCCTCCTGACGGGTTCGCATGTGCTGGCTGTGCTGGCTGTCAGAGCGGCGCCCACTTGCGCATTGCGCTGTGACGTACACGAATTTGCACAAGAATTCGTACACAAAAGAATTCAAGCAGGGTGCAGCGCTTTGGCTGTGCTACGATGCTACGGGCACTTTTTCAGCTTTTCCTTCTCATATCCAAAAAAGTTTATTCGCACATGGTTTGATACCACACTGTACTGCCTAAACAAATGAGCATATAAAAAAAAAGTAATGCCACTGACAAGTGTATGCGTCTTGCATAGGCTCACATATGTTGCCATCTCTGCACCCTCAATGGACAAAACTATTTCACGAAATAGAAAATAGGTGAGCCCGTTGCAGCCAAATGACACACACAAACACACACACACACACACAAATTTGATTTGCCATACAACATATTTGAACAGGTGTTATTAAACTGAGCACATTCACACATATACGCCACTCGCTGTGTTTTAACAAAATGCAGTGATTTAACATAATGCCTTCCATAAACATCTTCAGGAAGCTGATATGCTTATACAGCTCATTGCCGATGCATCTGTTACTGTGCCTGTATTTCCATAATTGTGTGTTTGTATTCCACTAAAAAATAAACTTGTATATGCACCTGTTATGTGCCCGTATTTCCCTAATTGTGTGTTTGTATTCCACTAACAAATGAATTTGTGTAGCTTGCAAAGGACGTGCAACGCTATAGAAACAGCGGAGCTGATGGGCACCTATGTGGACCTGGCTATGCTGTTTTACAGTGTTGCTAGTTTTCTCTTTAGTTCTTTTTTCCTCCTATTTCATTCTTCTCTCTTCTGCCTTTTCTATGTATATTTTTCTCTGTTTATTTTCACTTGCTCATTTCTCTCTATTTCTTTCTCTGTATTTTTCTCCTTTCTATGCTGTGCTTGACTTTCTTCCCTCCTCCTTTCTTTCCTCCTCGCCATCACAGATCTCCCCTTCATGCTCACTTCTCTTTCTTGCCTCCTTAATACACTAGACTACACAAGGCTATGCTATGCTCTGCTAGTGTGCCTGGATAGTCGAGTGGGGAGGACGCTCGCCTAATTGGTTCGAAGGTACACGGGTTCGAAGATCCCCCCCCCCCTCCTTGGTGAAGAATTTTTTTTCGACAAGAACACCTCTCTTTCTCAGTCTTTGTAATCGTTCCTTCACTCATCAGGGTTATAAACCGGCTACACCGAAGAAATTGGCGCGCATGCTCTGGGAGTTAAGTAGATGAGGACGAAGATGAAGAGGACGTAGAGGGCATGCACCAGTTCATGATAACCATCTCTGTTTCTAACAGACAAATTACGAGGAGCTTAAAAAGCTTCCCTGTTAAAAGTAAGTGGAGTGTTGGAGCATGTGAAGGTGATAACTAAATTTATCCATAGCGACTCACTTGAATTCTTTGGCAGGCCAGGGCCAATGCTTATGTTGAGAACACCTGCAGTGACCTTTAGAACAGCCTCATTACCATGACCTTGGGTGACATGCACCTGCTTGGTGGAGCCACCACCGAAGATGCCTTCTTTTTTCACTCGGTACTCCATCCTGCACAAAGTTTACACATGCCGTCTTAACAAAATCAACTTTAAATATTATACATTACTTTTGTGTTGAAGTGAGGTCATGCAAAGAAATTGGGTTCAAAGAAGCTTTACTATACAGACATACCACATATTTTGAGACACGACAATTTTATCCATGATCGAAACAAAATTGAGAAGTATGGTTTGATATTGGTTCTTTACCATATAGTAGCGCTATATGTAGTTACTATGTTCGTGGCAGGTTTCGTATGAAGCGTCGGAAGTATGAGGACAGGCCCACGAAACTACGCAGTTCTTTGACAGATGCAGGTTTGGGGAATTCGGCCACGGCCCGAAGCTTGGCAGGATCAGGAAGAATGCCGTGTTTGGACACGACGTACCCCAGGATGGTGAGTTGTTGTGCTGCAAAGCGGGACTTTTTCAGATTTAGTTGTAAGCCGGCATTGCTCACACGCGCGAAAACTTCTTTCAGACGTTGGAGATGCGTGGAGAAACCCGGAGCGAAGACAATGACATCGTCGAGGTAACACAAGCACGTGTACCATTTCAAGTTGCACAGAACGGTGTCCATCATGCGCTCAAAGGTCGCAGGTGAATTACATAGACCAAACGGCATGACGTTGAACTCGTACAAGCCGTCTGGCGTGGCGAAGGCGGTCTTTGGTCGAGCGTCGTCAGCCATTGGTACTTGCCAGTACCCCGAGCGCAGATCGAGAGAAGAAAAAAAAAATCGGCTCCATGAAGGCTGTCAATCGCGTCATCGATGCGTGGCAGTGGATAAACATCCTTGCGAGTGATATTATTGAGCCGTCTGTAGTCCACACAGAACCGCACAGAACCGTCTTTCTTCGCAACAAGAACAACAGGAGACGCCCATGGACTGTCCGAGGGCCGAATAACGTCGCGTTGGAGCATATCGTCAACCTGATCATTAATTACCCGACGTTCCGCAGGCGACACGCGATATGGACGTTGCCATAAAGATGGATGGGCACCAGTGTCGATGCGATGCGTAACAACGGACGTGCGACCGAGAGAACTTCGCCCGACAATCGAAAGAAGAACGATATTCTTGCAACAGGTCCAGAAGCTCGGAACGCTGTACCGCCGTAAGGTTATCAGCGATGGAGGGGCCAAATACATCAGCAGATGACGGATCAGAAGTGGAAACAGCATTGATGGTACGCGACCTGGGACAGCGCGTGTCATCGGGTACGCCCAGGACCTTGCGCGTCGTCGACTGGTTCCACTCTGCTGAGACATTCCCCTCGAATCAAGGTAACAGTGTGCGGGGACGGGTTGGTTACAAAAATAGCAGCGTTGCCCTGGTTGACCTGCACGGTCGCGAAAGGTACTAGCAACTGTTTCCTGCTACAAGCGCGGTCGGATAGGCGAAACGAGTGCAATTGTATCGGAGAGACCGGGGCAGTAGACAGACACAGCCGTCGTCGAGTTTGGAGGCACTGTTGTATCGTCTTTCGTTAGAATCTAGCTCAGTGTCGAGGAACTGTCTTCTGGCGTCAAATGCGAGAAGGGTGAGAGTTCAGTTTCGGCGGCGGCACAATGGATGACGGCGTCATGGCGGGAGAGAAAGTCCCATCCCAGGATGACGTCATGATAGCATGCCGGAATGATGATGAACTGGGCAACATACAGAATGTCCTGAATGACAACGCGAGCTGTGCACCCTGCTGTAGGATGAATACGATGCAAACTTGCGGTACGGAGGGACAACCCAGAAAGTGGCATCGTCACTTTTCAAAGTAAGTGGCAGAGCTTTTCGTCCATAACTAATCGGCAGCTCCAGTGTCAATAAGAGCCGATGCACAAACACCGTCCACAAGCACGTCAATGACATTTGAGGGGCTGCTCTGAGGGCTTTCACATTGCGATAGCGTCGCAGTCCTTGCCTCGGCGACTGCGATGACTAGTTTTCCCACTCATGAGCAGCCGCACTTGGCCGCATGGGCGACAGGGAACGACGTCGTGGAGACGGCGATCTTCGAGATAGACCTGGGCGAGCCCGAGGTGGCATAGAGGGCGGTTCTTCGTGATAAAGACAGCTGAGTTGGCCAGCAACAGGTGAAGAAATCGGAGCCGGCTGTACGCGATGGCAATAACGGGCTACGTGACCGGCGTAACCACAGGCAAAGCAGATGGGCCGGTTGTCGTGTGTGCGCCATCTGTTCACCGGGGTAGGTCTCACCCATGTCGTAAGGGCCGATGGACGAAACGGTGGCTGCATGGTGGACTGAAGCTGAGGCTGAGGGGTTACGTCAACATACATAGTGGGCATACCCGCTGCATACCCGCTGCACCTCCACCAATTTGTTAAGGCGTTTATACGAAAGCGAGCATACGAAACCAGCGAGCATACGAAATGGCCAGCGAGCATACGAAATGGCGACAGTCACGGCCAAGCGCGGACTCTCAGCGCGAGCGCCGTCCTTGTTGGGTAGCCCCACTAGGAGGTACTCAAGAGTTCGACCCATTTCAGAGTTCGGAGCTTCGCTACAACTATAACATAATCTAGCCATTGGAACAGATGCAATGCCGGCCTTTAATGTACCCCCCCTCTGATTTTTTTCTTTTCTTGCTTTAGATTCCTGCTACACTTTTGCGACATTCTCTTTGCATTATCTTGTGTTATGATGCTGAAAATGGGCATGAATGATGCAATACACCTAAAACAGTATTGGTTTCTCATCATTAGGCTTAAAGGAACCCTGCGAAACTTTTACAAATAATTGTCAAATGGCTTTATTAGAACCACTTATTGCCTCTCGAATTAACTGCCACAATTTTTTTTTGAATCCGTCCAGTACTAGCGGAGTTACAGGGATTAGTTACAGCCTTCAAGCACTTTTTCTCTCCTTTCACACTAGCGAGCGGGCGAAAACTTACGTACGGGGAATGGTTACAAGGAGACAAAAAGTTCCTTTGTCAGCACGCATGGTGACTTTGGGCACTTCGTTTTTTCTTGAAATGCATGGCTTACTTTTAAGGTGATCACGAGTGCATGTGTAAGCACATCAACGCTTCTTGTAGCAGCCACGGTAACAACCTAGTTCGCGGTGCTCAAATCAGCCAGTGGCCGTGGACTTTGTGTTTATAGTATCAATTGTGGAGAGAAGGGGAAACGATTTCCGCCCGACTTTAGAAATTTACTAAATTCCAGGCTGCGTGGCGTGCTACGATGTTTGGCTCGCATGTTCTCAGGATTCTCGATCAACGATTGGCAATGCTTTCTGATCATGCTGAAAGAGTTTTAAAGGGCCCCTTTACCTAATCTGTACTTGATGACATACACCAGGTATGCGAGAATGCATATATGCACTTATGAGTATTTTATTCAACACAAGAAACCAACAGAAGAAAAAAAGAATGTCAACCTACTTGTCAGAGAAGTGCAGGTTCAAAGGCCGCTGGCACTTTTCCCGAACTTTCTTGTCGAGCATGAAGAGGAACTCAGTCTTGAAGACAGACTCAATAAAGGTGTCGTACTCATTCCTCACTTGCAACACTAAGAAGTCATCCTGACGCGTGCTGCAGAAAGACAAAGGGCAGAATGTTCGTATTAGACCCCATTTTTCTGTTACTGTCCACACTTTCCTTTTGATGTTTTGACCATATCCTGGCCACACACATACACCTGCTTTGGGTGCTGGATATACAGCACGCAGAGAGTGAATGGTTTTATAAAAGCAACAAACATGGTGTCCAAGCCAAAAATATGACTGGGGTGCTGTTTTCAAAGTTGAAACTTTGAAAAGAATTACTTAAAAAGCTTAATAAATTAGTTATCTTCTTATTTTGAACCCAAATAATCAAAAAATGAGCTTATGGCTATTGCTCACGTGCTGAGCAAGCACACAGTACCCGTATGTACCGCACTAATGGATTGAAGCCCGAAAATAGGCAGTGCGCATACTTTCATTGTCAGTGTCTGCAGTTCGAGTCATGTGATTTGATATGAGGGGTTTAACATCCCATAACTACCATATGATTATGAGAGACACTGTAGTGGAGGGCTCTGGAAATTTCGACAGCCTGGGGTTCTTTAATAACGCGCGCCCAAATCTGAACACACGGGCCTACAGCATTTTCTTCTCCCTCGAAAATGCAGCCGCCGCAGCCGGGATTCGATCCCGCGACCTGTGGGTCAGTAGCCGAGTACCATAGCCACTAGACCACTGCGGCGGGGCCAGTTCGAGTCATGTGTAATTTTGACTTGAGCATTTACATCAGAGCCACAGGCCTGTGCATGGGGGTGAAAGGATAGGTGAAGGGGAAGGCAACTGCCTCCTTCACCTAAGATATCGAAAAAGTCTAGCACATACTTTGCAGAAACATGGGAAAGCTATCACAAACAATTGCTCATAACAGTCGCTATATTAAAAAAGAAATTGCCCATCAATCTGTGAGTACTGTACCTGTATAAATGGCAGATGTCGTTGCTTACCTTGTTGTCACCTGAGAAATGTTCTCGAGGTCAATCTTGCGTTTAATGACCTCCTTGATTTTACCCTTGTCATTTCCTTTCTTAATCTGAAAGTTGTAAAAAAATTATAAAATGCAGTCAAACATAGTGCTTTCCTTAGGTTTGCATAAGTTGTGGCATCCACTACTCCATAGGACATACAAACAGCCAGCTACACTCTATGGAACAATGCTTGGCAGTGGCTACTAGGTATGCAACATGGAGTATGTAGAAAGGCGCAGCCTTTTGACGTGCAGAACTGTTTTTTTTTATGTGTGGCAATGTTTATCAGCAACGCCTTTTTGCCAGACATGCAATCGACCTTATGGTGTTCATAGTCTTCCTCATCCACAATGCCGCAGGTTGGGACATACGGGCTCACACACAACACGCAGTAATAACCAATTCACTTACAAGAAAGGACGAAAAACAAAAAACAAACCAGAGCTGTGTGAATAGCGAAATTCTGGATGCCAGGTGAATTCGAATATCGAAGCACGAGCGCGAACCAAATCTAATATTTCAAGAATATTTTTGAATATTTCAAAGCCAAATTGCAGAAAAAATAAGTTGGAGAGAATTCATATGCATATTCTTATGAGATAAGAACATAAAAAAATTGTTTTTTAGCTAGGTTAGTGAAGTGTTGGTAGGGTGGTGTTTCACAGTTGTCTTATCAAAGATAAGGAAATGTGGAAGCTGAATTATGCCTATGTACAAGATTTGATGCAACCAATGTGTGGCCGACAATACTTGAAAGGCACAGATGCCATTTTCTCAGCCTCTTCTCTTTCAACTTCTGCCCACACCTATTTGACGTGGTGGACAAGCGTGTGCTTCCTTCGAGTCCTAAGTTCCAAATTTGCCTTGTAGACGTTAATATATAAGAACATCTGAAACATTGGATGCTAAAAATCTGAGGTGTCTAAATTTCCGGACTTCCTGCCCGAATTTCAGGTCTGAAACAGCATTAACTGAGCCCCCCCCCCCCCCCCCCATCTCTACAACATCTATGATCTCCATGTTGGAACCTACGTTTTTTTCTAGTCAATACATATGTGACCACATCAGAGCTTGAAAGGCACCTTTGCCTCGATACGAAAATATAGGGGGGTGAAGCATAATAAAAATTGAAAGGGGCTATTGACTATCTGATGTTGACTGTATTTGTCTTCTGGAAGTTTGAATCGTTTGAATAGCAAAATTCAGGTGCGAATTGAATCAAATAGCAAAATCTATTTGAAGAATATCCAAAGCCCCACCCCTAAAACTGAAAAGGCATGTCAGTAGCAGTTAAGGGCAGATGAGACTCGGAAAAAGCAAGTTTTTCTTGAAATTATTACATATTTTTTGTTTTTAATTGCTTTCACAAGTTTAGTTTCTCTACTTTCATGAAAAAAAAATCAAGGTTGTAGTTAAACTATAAGTAGGCTAATACCGGCTTTAAAAAGCTAAGGTGGCTATAAAAACAAAAAAGAGCTCATTTTCTAGAGTACCCTGAATATTGTCACCTGGCTGCTTGCCATTGCATTTCACATGAGTAGTTTACCAAGGCCACATGCTCAAAATAACCGTGATTCCCAAGCTCTCATAATGTAAGAAATCATTTTAAATATTACATGATTGCGAGATAGATGAGCATTCACTTCTACTTTTCAAATCTGTTTTTCACGAATAAAAGTTTGAGCAACATCCTAAGTTTTGACATTATGTCCTTGGTGCTTCAGATGGCCAGATCAAGGTTAAGTTCTTTACACACATTCCTTAATATGTTAAAGTGCAATTACCTGCTTTAAAGCATGATGTTATTTATATATATTTTTATTATTAACTTAAAGTAAGCAATTAGTATGGGCAGAGCATTCAACACATCTCACATTACAATTTTTCTTGTTCATTTAAATGTATGAAACACACGTTTTTGAGAGTTATTTACATTCTATAATTAATGTGGAGCAGTACAAGACATTAATGACTCATAATTATAAAAATTTAGTTGCAGAAGAAGCCTGTCCAAAAAAAGCTATATTTTGCACATTGTCATGGTACAAAATGAAAACTCTTCAACTTCCTATAAAATCGAGTACATGATTGAAATCAACATAAAACCTTATTTAAAGGGGAAAAATTTCATTATCTTAGGCTACAGACTAAAGCAAGTTTCTAATCACATCTCTCTATAAAGTACTAAATGGCTGCTTTCTTACCAGAGTCAAGTATTAAGCGCAATACCCAAGGAAACAAAAGCATAAAGTACGGTATTCACTTACCTTTTCTCGGCCAATAAGAAATAGTGACTTGGGAGTCAAGATCAGGTCCCTCTTCACAGGCTTAGAAAAACAAGCCAAAGAAACGCAATATAAAAAATGGGCAACAGGAAGCACAATAAATCATTTGTAAACTTCATTACAATGTGTGACCAAAAGAAGCTTAGTTATGTCACAAGACCAAATACACCAAAGCAATTCAAATCCTCTAAAACAAACGAAATATGTCCGTTTAGGAGTAGGTATAGGCAAGGGTCACCTAACACATAAACTAACACATAACACATAACTGGCGACCATCACATTCACGCGCCACTGACAGTTCTAAGTAATGGATGCCAATTTCGAAGGCCCTGCTTTTGTGAGATGCATGCCCCAGAAGAAGTTGTAAAGCTAGAAACACGGTAAAACATTGACAGTGCATTCCGTAAACCATTTATATATACAATGACCTATGCAATTACACACGAAATTATTGCGAGTTTACGTGAGCTTCTGAGACATGATAAAATAGTACGTATACAACTGGTTACTTGACTATTTGAGCCCACCTTGAAACGACGATCATACTTGAGGACAGTTTCAGCAAACTCCACTCGTTCGCGCTTTCCGACGAGCACCCTCAGTTCTGGATGGTGGTCGAGGCCAATGTAGTCCCCAACAAAATTGCGGTTCAGGCTATGATGACACCGCTCTTTGCGACCTTGCAGGATGTCCGCAGCTGTTCCATGAGAAAAGTCATTAAAGCAGGAGGAGGACGTGTTACACAGTAAACTCACAAAATAAGATATGGTAATATATACCTCTACCTTTCCCGCTACCTGTCCTATTTCCACTGCATATCTTGGATCACTAAGGCATACCAATGAATCATATTATATAATTCATATGTCACAATTATCCACAATTATCCTTTACCTGCTAGGATGGCTTAGTCGATGTGGGGTTTTGATGATAAGACCAAGGCCAGAGGTTCGATTTCTGACCAGATTTCATCAGAAGTGAAGTGCAAGAAATGCTTTTTACTGTACTGTAAACTTCTTCTATGCTCGAAAACAATTAAAGGTGCGCAAATGTTCAAAAGATTGTTATATTGCAGCGAATATTTTTACATTTGGCCTTTGCATTTCAGTCTGTAACTGTGCACAATCAGTCAGCAAGCTGAAACCAAAGTGCCATAGAATTGAACACTGGTTGCAGTAAAAGCATAAAACAATATACAGTCGACTCCCGGTAATTGGAAGTCGCTTAATTGGAAGTTTCGGTTAATTAGAAATGAGCAAGTGGTCCCATCAGTTTTGCATGCAATCGTATAGAAAAAAATGCTCGATAATTCGAAGTTAAAAACCCATAATATTGGTTAACTAGAAGTTTTTTCAATCGACAGTCTCGTCGCGACCGTAATTTTACAGTAAAATGGGGAACTTTTCATATGCCAAAACATCTGCGGGCCGCGCTGGTGTCTTCGCTATCACTACTGTCCGCAGCGCCACAGATCTTGAAGCGGCAATCTTTTTAACGCTGGCGAATCACATCGGCGGCATCGACTGACTCTTTAGTTGACTTTTGTCGAGACTCGAGTGTGTCACCGCGTCACCCGCGCGCTGGGTTGATTCCACACGTGTTTCCACGCTTCTGATTTTGAGTGTTGTGGTGGTGACGTACGTTTGATAATGGCAACTCGTGGCCCTTACCGAACGCTAGACCTAGCGACGAAAGTCGAAGTCTTGAAGGAAGTTGACCAGGGAGGCACCGCCAAACAAGACATTGCAAGAAAGTACGGCATTAAGCCTAACACGCTGTCGACTTTCATAAAGAATAAGCGCTCAATATTGGATGCGTTTGAAAGTGAAAAATTCAAGACATCGCGGAAGCGGATGCGCACCGGCGCCTACCCCTAGTTGGAGGAAGCACAACTGATTTGGATCAGAGAGGCACGAAACAACAAACTTCCTCTCAGTGGTGAAGTCGTCACGGCAAAAGCGTCATCGCTTGCTGAAATGTTGGGCATCAACGACTTCGCTGCTTCGGATGGGTGGCTTACGCGTTTCAAACATCGCCACGACTTGATTTTTAAAAGCCTGTGTGGGGAGAAGGCATCAGTCGATGAGGAAACGTGCCTGACATGGAAAGCGGGCAAGCTTCGCGAGTACCTCGAAGAATACCAGCCGGCAGACATTTTTAATGCAGACGAGACTGCGCTTTTTTATCGGCTGCTACCGGACAAGACCCTGACATTTAAAGACGACGACTGTTCTGGAGGCAAAAGAAGCAAAGAGAGAGTGTCAGTGCTAGTCGCGGCGAACATGACTGGCACAGAACGGTGTCGCCTGCTTGTGATCGGGAAGGCTGCCAAGCCTAGGTGCTTTAAAGGCGTGAAGACGCTTCCTGTGGATTATGCCTCGAACAGAAAGGCGTGGATGACATCCGATATATTTAAGGACTGGATCACCAAACTTGACCGCAAGTTTGCGCAATCAAGCCGTAAGGTGTTGTTCCTTGTGGACCAATGTAGTGCCCTCATGAACGTACTTGCCTTGAGTGCCATTCGTCTTGTGTACCTGCCTGCAAACACGACGTCCGTGTTGCAGCCCATGGACCAGGGCATAATAAAAAATGTGAAGGTATTGTATAGGCAGCATCTCGTCGAGCGCATGCTTTTGTGCATGGACAACTCGTCGCAATACGAGGTGAGTTTGCTTAGTGCCATCAACATGCTAGCGCAAGCTTGGACCCGCGTGAAAGAAGAAACCATCGCCAATTGTTTCCGGGCCTGTGGTTTCATGGAAACTCGGGGGATGCTTCTCCTTGTGCGCCAGTGGAAGTGCAAACAAGTGAGCTCGACGACGGTAGCTTTCGCGCCGCTCTCGATGACGTCCGTTTTGACGAGTATGTCGCTGTGGACAGCAACGTCGAAACATGCGGTCCACTAACGGACAGCGAAATCGTGCAGATGGTTCGGCCCCATGACTGCATTATTGAAAATGACGATTATGACGATGACATCGGAAATGAGCCACCACCGAGGGCTGCCGATGTAGCTGCGGGTCTTGCTCTTGCGCAGCGGTTTTTTGTTGGAGAACACAACGTCGAAGAAGCACTTCGACACGTGTATTCCTTACAAAACTTGCTAGCCAAAGCCAGATTCGGCAAGCAGAAGAAGATGACCGACTATTTTTCCTCAAAACTGTCGCGCTTTTAAACGAATAAAAGTGCCGTTTTTAGTGCTTTTTGCTTAATTCGAAGTTCGTTTAATTCGAAGTTTTTTGCGGTTCCCGTGAACTTCGTATTAACGGGAGTCGACTGTACACCGAGTACTCGAGCATGCTATATTGCCAGACACTTCTGGCTAAGCTGCTACAATTTATGATCGACGATTTGTGAGTATGCAAATCGAATGCCGACACGCTGCCACAGCACTTATGCTATTAAAAAGCAATGCTGTATAATCTGCAACATGATGGCAGAAACTTGCCAATGTAAATACTATACATATACCCACATATGATTTCATAACGGCGGAAATCACACTATATTATTTGTGCAATCTTTGAAAAGATTTCAATATTTCATCTCATTCACATCCAGCATTATTACATAACTGATTCAGTTTGAAAAAAGATTAGCCCATTCCCTGAGAGTAAATCTGGAACAGTCAACTGCTCATAGCCACACCATCGCTTTGGGATGTTAAAAGGGACACTGAAACACTTTTTCAAAAAACGAAATTGTGGTGTCATGAGATGTAATTTTGTGCGGCGAACTCGGAAATCAAGTCAAAAATTTGCATAAACCAACGCAAAACGCTTTATTTTGTTGAAAACAAGCAAGAAGCGCCGTGGTCACCATTACGAGTCTCGCCGCCCCTGTAATTGGTCGAAGCTCCATGACCTCACTGTCAGGAAGGCGAGGACAGCTGACTGCGCTCGCCGGCACTCAATGCCGTGTTTATCTGTTGAAATCGGGTAGTTGCTGTCAATATGGCAAACTATGAAAATCGGACCAATTGGTCAGACTGAGTTCGACTTTCATCCGTGTATGTTCGAGCCAGTCGCCACATTAAGGGCGACGTCTGAAGTGGCACACAAAAGCGAGTGCCAACCAGCCACCTTTACCTGCGTCGGACATAGACATGCACATATAGGATGCATGCCTGTGCTTAATTTTACTGTATCAAACTGTTACAAATGACACCCATAAGCATATCATTTGTTTCTTATCGACCTTGGTATCCACTGATAACAGTGGATACCGAATTCGATAAGAAACAGCATCGGCACTCGCTTTTAGCCGCGTATTGGCACGGTTCGTGCTAAGCACAGGCAGCGTGCAGAAACATCAGCTGTTCGTGGATTTCACAGCTCAGAGTGCAGCGTTATTAATGCAGTCAGTATCATACTCCGCAGCGGGCAAGGCACACGCGATGAGTCAGTATGCTACTGCGAAAAATGAAAAAAAAAAAAGAAAGAAAAGAGCCAGACGAGTGCCGCTCTTACCAGAGTGGTGATATGTGCTCTGTACTGCGCTAAAAATTGCACACAAGAATAGTTTGGCTCATATATTGCAGTTCTGTTTTTTATAATATTGTTGCTTTTTCTAAATTCTGCCTAATACTACAGTGACAATGTGTTAAAATGATAACAGTATATTAGCTGTGCTAGGAGCCTGCAACTGTTGTTTAGAATAGCCGATTTCGATTATGAGTACCGATATCTTTGTAGATGCGTTTTCGCCATACGCGCTCACGCTCACACTGCGTGCAAATGGGGAAAGAGGACGGCTGCTGCTGCCTCGAAATGCGGCAGATTCGCGACCGCCACTGCGCACTTCATCTCGTAGGTTTGAAGTATTCTCTTTTAACTGCAGCGACCCAATTCGCAGCCATCTTCCGATCCTGAGGAAACTTGTGAAAAGCAACCTCATTGCGACCGCAAGACAGCATCACGAGTCCACTTCAACCTTGCAAAAACACAACTACTGAATGTCGGATAGTGCAAATCTGTAATCAGAAGAAAATGGTGCAATGGCAAAAAATCCCTATGAACTGGCAGAACTGATGCTTCGCCAGGCAGCAGATCGCAGGAGAAACAAGGCACAACCGCGAAGTAAACAAGCTGAGCTGACTGAGCGACGCAGGCAGCCCGGCGCAAAGTTGCCTGCTGGGTGGCGGCTCGACCCTGACGATGACGTCACCTCCCCAAGTTTCTGTCTCTCCCGTGCTCCGCCCCTGAGCGCGCGTGTGCCGGAAGAGGGTGGGGGGAATTCCCTTGGCCAAAGTTTACTCGCTTATAGCGCCTTTGTTTAATTGAACCTTGCGAAAAAAACCTCCACAAACGTGTTGTAAGAGGTTGCGGATACTGAATTCGCCATAAATTTGCCAATTCAAAACCTCTTCAGTGTCCCTTCAAGTAGAAGAATAGACCACTCGTTCAACTTTCAACCATAGACAATGTGCCAAGATTAGATTACAAGTTCACAAGATACGGTGAAATAGTTTGCAGTTAGAGGGACACTAACGAGCAAAAATGACTTGGTTTAGATTAATAAACTGCACTGTGAGAAATCTAATGTCGTAAGTTCATTATTAATGGAGAAAATAAAGGTTGAAGTTTCATTTTTAAAATTCCCCCGAAAATCTCCGCGCATGAAGTAATGAATTCCAAAACGTATTTTTTGTATTTTCGCGACATTGGCACAATGAAATTTTCCAAACTTTGTATGCTAGGTCTATGGCACCCAAAGATGACAATGTGCTTCATTTTTATTGAGTAGAAGCTATGCAGGACCCAGTAGACGCCCTCAAGATTTACTACATTATGGTGTTTGATGCAGGAATCTCAAGGTGACGTCTCCACCTGCATTTTCTTTTTACGCATTTTCTCACTTACAGCCTCATGCCAAGGTAAGAGTGGTGTTTTGGGAATTGTACTTAACTAATATGCAATAAATTGCTTTACTTTTTAGTGACCTTTTAAAAGAATTACACTTAACTAGAATGACAAGTTCGTACTTTACTATACACATTGAACAATGTATACACACACACACACTTTTGACATATCTTTCATAAATTTAGAAAATGTTTAAGAGTGTGGCCAAGTCCGCATCTGTTACCTTTCTGCTTTTGCTTGAGGTACTGCTGCCTGGCAAAGTACTTCTTGAATGCCTTCTGAATGACTCGGGCGTGCTTATCATACCGCCGCTCCCTCATTTCTTCCAGTAGGAACAGCTGTGTCAAATGATGAACATGAAACAATAGCAATTATTCTTCAATTATGGTAAGTGTTCCTTCAGGAGCCTTTACTGACACACTTACTGCACAAAAGATAACCTGTAGTAACTTACCTACTACCACAAGGCAAAAGCTTTACTTACACAGTGCACAGCTGTATGATAGCAGGAGGGTAAACAGTGATTCATACACAATAATACTACTATGATCACACAAAACCGAGTATAATTGACAAGGTATAACCGCAGGGCCAGAACATTAAAACAAGTTAAACTTAGTGTGAGGAACAAAGCCACTGTACCAGGAAATGAAACAAGTAAAAATATAAAACACAGTATGATATACCAGTAGTACCAGATACTACGGGCACTGCTGGTACATGGTACTAAATAAAGAAGCCATCGTAGTGCCCGCACTGACTGGTATTGTGCTTTTTATTTGTGTTAGTTTTATTGTGTGCTATGATGCATTCGTTAGGTATTAAAGGGCTCTACAACACATTTTAACATGATCAGAAAGTGCTGCTGATTGGTGATAGAAGCGCCTAGAAGCACATGAGCCAAACATTATATTGCTGTACACAGCAGGAAATATACAATCAAAATTCGAAGTCCGTTAAAATCACTTTCTCCTCTCGTGACGAATGATGCCATAGACCCACATCAACAGTAATGATACTTGTTGGGTTAGTTAGTAGATCATTTTTTTTTATGGAGGCAACAGTAATGATACTTGTTGGGTTAGTTGGTCGATCATTTTTTTTATGGAGAACTATGGTGGCTGTGGATCCGCTGTAGATTCCATCCACTATGTTTGTGTAGGCTTTGTCGATGTCCTGATTTAGTAGTGCCTGCATCACTGCTGATGTCTCGACTGAGTCAAACGCCTTCTCGTAATTTATGAAGGCTATGTGTGGGGGTTGTTTGTATTCTGCGCATTTATCTAATACCTCATTGATAGTATGTATCTACCGTATTTATGCGCATAATTGGCACGATCACATAATTGGGGCACTTCTAGTATGGTTGTGGAAAATTCGACTTTTTTAATTCCACGCATAATAGGCGCACCCTGAACTTGGCCGTGATCGGAAACGATTATACCCCCCAGTGGTACAGTAAAGAACGCAGTCCCCGTACCCAGAAGAAAAAAGGAGGCAAATCGATGAGCAAATAAAAAAATTTCGAAGTGTAACGACCTAACCAACGTGTTTGTCAAAATAAAACTTGAAAAAAAATAAAGCGTCTATGAGCAAAAAAAAAGAAGGCTGTTCCATCAATCACTGATACCCCCCAAATCGCCGCGCTCCTTGGAAGTCACGTCAACGCTGGGAGCTTGATCGCCATCACCCCCCATCAGAGAAAAAGAAACGCCATTTTGCAAGCAGTGGGCATATGTTGTGGTTGTATATTCAACTTTGGTTCCACCATAAGGAAGTACACAAGCTACACGGCTGGATTTAAACTGAAGGCAGTGCAGTACGCGCTGGAGCACAGCAACCGGGCTGCAAGCAGGCATTTCGATGTTGGAGAAACCGGTATTCATTACTGACGGGATCAAGAAAAAACTTAAGGCGAAGAAGAAGACACGAGGAGCTTTTCGCGGCACCAAGACCGGGAGGTATCGGAACGTCAAAGAGCAAACGGTCCGGCATATACGGGAGCTACGACAAGACGGCTGTGCTGTGTCATTGGATATTGTGCAGACTGAGGCACGCAGAATAGCCCGAGCATAGCGCATCGAAGCAAGAGAGTTCAAAGCCAGTTCTGGATAAACAACTCATTTCATGCGGCGCCTTGGCCTCGCCCTGCAAAGGCAGATTACCTTGTGCCAGCGCTTGCCCGCAGCATATGAGGACAAACAAAGTGGTGGACTTCCACCACTTCGTTAAAGCTCTGACAGCAAAAAGACTTCATTTTGTCCCAGATCGACAACGCTGATCAGAACCTCCTTTGCTTTGATATGCCGTGGAACACGACAATGGAGGAAAAAGGTGCGCGGAGCGTCATCGTCAGAACGTCTGGCGCTGATAAATAACGATGCGCCTTAATGCTGGCAGGTGACAGCGGATGGGCGCAAGCTACCGCCTTACGCTATTTTTAAACGCAAGACGCTCCCAAAGGCAAATTTCCCTCAAGGCATCTACATCAGAGTCCCGAGAAAAGGCTGGATGAGCGCGGAACTTATGGTGGATTGGGTGAAAACAGTATGGGGTCGGCGGCCAGGTGGTTTGTTGTTCCTGTCCATGCTTGTTTTGGACAGTTTTGATGGGCACCTAGAAGACCGCATACGAGATGAGCTAAAGAAGCTGAGCACAGATCTGGCAGTGATTTCAGACGGCCTCACATCGATACTGCAGCATTTGGACGTGTCCTTGAGTAAGCTTTTCAAGGACAATGTTCCAAGGCCGTATGCCACCTGGATGGCTAGGACAACATCAGCTGACTCCAGGTGGTAACATTTAGAGGCCGCCTGTGGAAATGCTGTGCGCTTGGATCATGGAAGCGTGGCAGGCGACTTTCGACTGAAGCCAGTCAGGAAAAGCTTCAAGAATACGGGGATCTCGAACGCACTGGATGCAAGTGAGAATGACATGTTGTGGGGTGCAGATGATTCGGACACCGAAAACGAATCCCCACTCAGCGAGGATGAATGTGGGCTCTCCGACTCAGGACTCCGAAAGGCAAAAGAAGGAACACCTACGACTTTCGCGTTTAAGTGTGTGTGAGCAGTTGAGGGTTTTCGCTTGTTCATTAAAAGGTATGTAGGTATGTTTGTTTTATGCTGAATTATTTGTAAATGATAAAGTCGCCTTTGACTTGAGAAATGTGCAGATGTTGAAAGCACGAGAACCATGTCTAAAAAGTTTTCCCGAAACTTTACCCTGCGTGATTGGTGCACCCCTAACTTCAAGCCAGATTTTCTGAAAAAAAAAAAGTGCGCCTATTATGCGAGTAAATACGCTAGTCTATTGTGGAGTAGCCTGTACGAAATCCCGCTTGGTCCTTCGGTTGGCTGAACTCTGATGTGTCTTAGTTCTATTAGCTATTATTTTCATAAATAGTAGTAGAGAATGAACACTACGCTGATCAACCTGCATTTTTCAAGTCCCTGACGTCTCTTTCCTTATGGATTAAGATAACTGTTGGCATTCTTCCAAGATTCTGGTACCTTTCTCGTCAAGAGACACTTTCTACATAAAGTGGGCAGTTTTTTCAACACAATTTTTCCGCCATCTTTCAGCAGGTCTGTTGTTACCTTATCCTCACCAGGGGCTTTGCCTCTTTGCTTTCCTTCTAGGGCTTTCATTAGTTCCCTTGTCGTTAGTAGTAATATATTGCTTGTGTGTAAACAATTAAACAAAAGAAAAGTTTTGTAGGAGTTGGATTTCAGACACAACACATTAAGTTAATGTTAAACTATTGTTCAAATAGCGCGAGACAAAGGATGACTGGTAACTGTGCAGAGAAGAGGCAACTCACCGACTCAGGGGGCCTTAATAAAGACCTTTGTCTTCCCAAGCTGATATTGATCTTTGTCCATGCCAACACTGTTGAGAATATGAAGTATGCCTTCCTTGATGTTTCCACGCCATTGTGGGAAAGTCTCTTTGGTCAAGACTGCATACCTGTGTAAATGGCAAAGGATGTATAAGATCTGACATCACAGTGTCTTCTAGATAATGTTTCAGCTCAGCGATGTTTTTCCCTAAGTAAGCTTTCTATAACTCTTTACTATGAGCAAGGTGCTGCACTTTAGCAAAGATAGGTTGCCATGAAAGAAAACCTCAGCTAATATCATTGTCTTGCTATCAAATTCATAGCATGGATTCAATCTTGGGGCCTTGAGTTGAACAGAAGAATGTTATACAAGGTGAGCCAACAGATTATTAAGTCAAACAGGTGTGTGTGATAATGCAGAACTATTTTCTCACTTCAGCTGTTCTCTATAGCTGCAGTAGTCCTACTTGCTTTCTAATGTTGAACAAATGTACCTTACGCTGATCATGAGATCATTAGAGGGGTGGTGCCATCAAATTCGTGATTTCGACCTTTTTTTTTTTTGCAAACGTGTCAACTGCTCTAGGAAGCATGAGACATGTTTCAAAATTCATGTACTCTAGCCAAATAATTTGATACTGTTTTACTTATGTGAAAGACTTTCAGTTTTGGCTTCTCGGTGCCAAGCATTGACTGACAGTGTGGAAAGCTTGGGAAGCGTGAGAAGTCCACTGCTTTCTCACATGAGCAAGGGCAATTGTCTGGGTGCCTTAAACACCCACTACAAATCCCTTCTTACACAGTGACAGAACGCTTAACTGGGCAAGTTGGTGTGCTTCCACTTTGAGCGAATAAACAACGCGAAAAACAAAAGAAAGAAATCCGCACGGTTGCCTGTCGTTTTTTTCGTTCGTTGTTATTTTGGGTTGAAGTATGGTGGCACCATTCCTTAAAGAAAATAGTGTTAAAACTGTGACACACACAAATTTCTCAATTTGCTCATCTTTATTACGAAATGGGCCAACCTGCAATTGAAATAATTATACATTACAAATTCATAATACAGTTATTTTAGTAAAAACCTTGAAGTCGTCAATGTAGGGGGATGGTGTCTACTGTGAAAAGCGCCTGTGCTCACCGATGCAGGAACTTGTCGAAGACTCGCCGGTAGGCAAATCCAGCTCGCCTCACACGTACATTTTCCTTGAGACCCAGGTACTCGACTTGGTGCTTCACCCTAGGTCACCGAGATACACAGCGCAGTAACCATCACTTCACTGCTTCGACAAACATGCACATAGTAAACACAAACATATAATTCATAATGGACACATACAACTGTGTCATGCTTGAAAGCTCGAATCTAACTACAGACTACTACCATTGCTTTTCAAAACAATAACTACTGTTGCTGGATTATTGAATAACTTTTCTAAGACTCCAACTGTACCATCCTCGCATGCACACATGCGTTGACATTATGTATCTACAGCCATGGATAATTCAAACAAGAACAAGTTGGGACTAACTAAGCTGCATTCTTTAGTGTTCCTTTTACCAAGCATCTTGCTCGCACACTTATTTTGCGACTCACACCATCTCTGGCAAGCACATAATTGGCATTGGCAGGGTGAGATAGTACTTTGAGTCATAACATGCAAAGGTGTTTCACGTAGCGATTTTTCGTGCGCGTCTCATTCGTCCATGAATGGAGATGCAGAAAGTCGTCTACTGTATTACAAAGAGTAAACCCACGCACCTGTCTTCTTCCCAGTCATGAGCTTTCTTCGTTTCGTTTGGCTTGATGCAGCGAATGTAATGTGGCGTGCATTTCATCAATGCCTCTACCAGCTTGTTGGCCTGGCTCTATTCACAGAAAAAGCAAAGATACTGATTTGTTAAAGACTCCTCATAAAACATTTCTAGGTAGGCAAAAAGAAGTTTGCATAAATTTGTAATCTGTAACACAAAGTATCATCAAAAACAATGTTGTGTTGAAGTCTTCTTGCTGGCCGGTAATTGAAAGAAACCAAAGTACATAAGTTACATCAGTCTCTCTGCGAACAAAAATCACAACAAACTTAAATTGCCAGCCCTGCAAAATTTGAGCGAAACTGTCTCGGCAACACAAGTTCTCTCATTTGATGTCCCAAACAAACCAATGATTAAGAAATGCCAAGGTAGAGAACATTAGACTAACTTTGTACCTAGACCTCTTTCATGAATAGGTACATGAATTTAGGCACATAGATTGAAAACTTTAGTCATTGGTAGCTGATTGGTAAATGGTGGATTGTTGGTTTCAATAGGAGGCTGGAAGTTTTTGGCTCTTATAACAATCTTTTTTTTGAGCTCGTCTGCACTTTTCTGTTGAGAATCAAATGATTAGTAACAAACCTTGATCTTTGAACCAGCTGTGGTAGGTCTTCCCTTGACTGTCCCAGTTACGTTCTCAGGAAAAAGACTCTTGATGAATGAACTGTGGAAGAAAGAGATATTATTCATTTTTCAAATTTTAAAGTGTCGGGTCCAGATTTTGCTGAAAATTAAAAATAAATATTGTTGAACGTGTATAAGCAATGGAGAAGTGCATAATAAGTGCCCACAATTTGTCTCAGTTCTCTTAATAAGAGAACACCAAGGAAATGAGTGCTGAATAGCAGCAGATGTGGATAGTAAACTCTTCTCGATTTAAATAAGAAAAAGTCTACTCACATATAAACGAGAATGATAAAGTTTTTTTAGAAACACAAATATTTTGTTTTATATGACACAATTATGAAGTTTTCTTATCTAACTAAATGTGACAGTTGCCGTGTTGAAAAGTGAGAACAAATGACCAGTTCACACTATCACACTTCGAGAGTAGAATGCAATAACATTCATTTCATACAACCAAGAAATACACCAATAGATGCTAGGCTCAAGTTGTAGCAGCACAATATGCTGAAACATAAGCCAAACTTCTCCATTTTTGCCAAAATAAGACCAAACTAGCATGCAATAAAAACTCTCAAAAATTATTAAAAGCCTTTAGAAAGCAAAACTAAGATGTTAATTTACACTGGTATTAACAACTAATAGATAATAAAGACAGTCTTCATAATTCTTTGTCTTTGTGTCTAATATATAAAATAAGCCCTTAAATTTACCCCCAATTTACACTGGTAGTTTTTTGAAACAGTATGTTCATTTCATTAGCAATGCTGGCATCTCTTGTTGTTAGTAAACAAAATGAAAGCCAAAGTTGCCTTCCTCTTTTTTTTTTTTTTTTCATTCAGCATCATTTTTCACAAAAGTTTCAGAAACATGTTATCTTCAGTATCATTCTTATTTAACGACAAATAATTCATTACATTAGCATAGAGCGCACTTATGGCGACTATAAGCACCCATCTATTGCTCACGTCTTCTCTGGACGATGGCCAAACACTGAGGTCACACGACCAAGTTAGCAGCAAATGCCCGCTTTGTCAGCTGACAATCACGATCAAGAAATTTCGTCCAGATCCGCTTTGTCAGCTGACAATCACGATCAAGTAATCTCGTCCAGATCAGCCCTACATGCAATCTAAGGTGCCCATGTCATACTATCATTCAGCCAGCAACACTTTACCAAGAGTGGGAGCATTGTAATTATTGTCGAGTAACCAATACCACTGCCACGTAGCTCCACTACTGGAAGTGATGAAAAGTAATTGAAGATGGTACATTGCTGGATATTCCACCTTCAATTAGTTTTTATTACTCCAAACCTCCATGTTCCTCTGAGCCTGTGTATTAGCCATATTGCAGGTCACTCACTTGGAACTGCTCTGCATGACGAGGACGACGTCTGGAAACAGGACGTCCCGGTTTTTTTCGCACATGCCGTCCGCATCATAGGTGACCTTGCCCGCGTAATGGTGCACAGCGAATCCAGTGCCGCCAGTCAGTTGAAAATGTGGATGGTTGCCAACTTGGTGCGAGAGCTTCTGACACAACTGCGCGTCCACTCCTTCACCCGTGGCGTGCATCGTGGCACAGATGTCATCAAGCACAGAGAACACTCCCGGGGGAACCTGTCGTGCATACCGGTGGAGTAGAACACGGAGCAAAATGTTGAGGAAAGTGACGAGAAAGAAAATAATAATAAATTTAAGTTTTGGGGTTTAACATCCCAAAGCCACCATATGATTATGACAGATACCATAGTGGTGGGCTCAGGAAATTTAGACCACCTGGGGTTCTTGAACGTAGACCAAATCTAGGCACATGGGCCTCAAACACTCTCGCCTCCAACGAAAATGGGGCCGTCGGGATTCAATCCCACGACCTTCGCGCCAGGAGCCGAGCACCGTATACCCACTGCTCCACCGCAGCGTGCTATTATACATATAAGCATTTCACTTCAATAAGATATATAATCACATCACGTTCAGTACCACACTCAAAAGACGCAATAAGAGGGGCGGTAGCACCATGTTCGTATAAACGAAGGACAGGTAATAAAATGCAAGCACAAACATCACAAACTGCATATAACTGCTGATGAAGCAGCAGTCGCAGAGCAGTATAGGCTAGGTTGCTCACATATGCACAAATGGCAGATGACACCATATTTCTTCAACAGTTTTTCCCTGTACATCAACGGCCGTGGAGACTGGATGCCAACATTCCGACAAGGTCATTTACAGATAAGCTGAAACTTCTCCATAAAAGCCAATTGCTTATATGGTAACCAATGAAATTGTCTTGTGCCTTAAAACCAAGCACACCTAAAAACAATGCTGTTATGGCTATGTTAACTTCACAGTGTTCTACCGCAGTGTAAACAGTTCCATACAAGGAACGCAAGCAGAATTTATCAAACAACTGCAAAAATACAGAAGACACAAATAATGTCTGTTATTAGCAACGTTGTACAATATGAACTCCCAACTAGCTTATCATTATTCTGTTTGCTAATATTTACAGGCGAGTAACGTGTTACCTTGCTTTCAATAAGGTCGCAGACAACCTTGTTGTTGAAGTAGTCAATTGCCTTCCACTGAATTCCTTCTTGAACATACTCTTCCTGAAAATCGAAAAGAATTGATTTCGGCGCACATTATTGCATGCCGGAACAAGAATGATAACAGTGAATGTGTTGTAGCGCCTGTAAATGTTTTAATGAACAATGTAAACAAGATAGATAAGAAATCGAAGCACGCCACTGACAGCCGTTAATTAGTAATCATATTACTTAAAAGTAAAATCCGCTGAGCGAAGTCAGCTAAACCAAGTGAATTAGTAAACGCGCGTAAGCTCACACATCGTAAGAAAGTAGTAGCACATCACCTGTTCAGCTTTCAGAGTGAGCTCGATGAAAATTTGCTGCAGCTTCTCGTTCACGTAATTGATGCAGAATTGCTCGAAGCCGTTTCGTTGAAAAATTTCGAAGCCGTAGATGTCCAAAATGCCGACGTTGAGCTCGCCAGCTGTGGTCTGCATGGCGTTGTTGATAATCTGCGCCGTGCAGCAGGACAAAACAATGTACACAAGTTCATATCGGAGCCTGCGAAGGTAGTCTAAGATCACTCCAATGAACTGCTAAACATATAACGCCCTGCAATCAGATGCCGATGGTCGGCCCGATCAGCTGTGATGCGCGCGCGTCTGCGGCGTAGGCCTGCTCCAATAACGACGGTAGTGCCACTTACAGCGCTGAAAAATGTTAATTACAGCGCTAAAATTTTAAATTCAGCTAAATTAACAAACTATTACTTATTTATCTTTAGTTATGAATAACATTATCAAATTACAGTGCTACACGTGAGTATGTCAATATGTTAGTAGCGGCATCTATGACGTTAACGACATTTTGCCTTCAAGTCTAAGCCTAACAAACGAATCGGGTCACTCATGGCGCGCAAACTTCACGATCTGTGCCCGTGGCCTTGCTGTGTGATAAACAAGTTGTATCGAGAGGTTCATTGCCCGATGTGTTTTGCACATATTCCCGTTTTCGTGTAGCCGAGGACTGTCGCAGCTTACCCGCGAATATGTGGTCTTTGCGTGATACCGAAACGAACGACGTGCGCTACCGTCTTCTGTGCGGCGGAGAATGCACGGTGGGTCGTAAAGGCGCGGGCATTTTGATCGCCAACGACGCATCGATAAGCCGGGAGCACGCGGTGCTATCCGTTGCTCCCTTGCCCGACGATCGCCTTGGCGACGTTTCTTATGTGCCCCTACTGCGAGTGAAGGACCTCGGCTCCAAGTACGGGACGAGCGTCAATTCGAGAGAGCTCGGCAAATCCGAGGAAACCGCTCTGAGAGAAAACGACATTGTTACATTCGGAAAGCTCGGCAGCAAGTACAGGGTGTGCTACGATGCTCCGTTCGTGGTGACAACGTCGTGTCTCTCGACGCCCAACAAGGAGCGCCTCACGGAAACGTTGAAGAAAATCGGAGCCAGGCTGAAGCCCGAGTGGTCCGATCGCTGCACGCACGTTGTGATGGCCTCTATTCGCCTTACGATGAAAACGACGGCGGCCCTGATAGCTGCGAAGCCTGTGGTGACGCCAGGATTCTTCACAGAGGTGCAGAACCGCGTACAGCGTCAGGACCTCGCCGAAGTTGACCCGGCGAATTTCATACCGGACGTTACGGAAGAGTGTCTGGCGCTAGCGAAAGAAATCTTCGGCTGCAACGAAGCTCGCAAGAGTGTATTCTCGGGAAAGACGTTTTATTTCTTGACCGAGAAGCAGTTCAAGTCGCTGGGCGAATTGGTTGTGTCGGGCGGCGGTCGAGCGAAGCTGGTGCGCAACCCCGATCGGCCGACGCCCGAGCTGATCGCCGAAGGCAGCTGCGTCATTAAGCCCGGCGACGGCACCGATACGCCGGTGTGCCGCTACCTTATTGAAAACAAGATTCGTGCCGTTTCCGCGTCGGACGTGGGCATGGCGGTGATCCACTGCTCGACGGCGAAATTCTGTAACCCCCGGAACAGGATCATGAACGTGTTGTGGGGCGACGACATGGTTGCGACGCAGCCGCAATCTCAAGAGGAAGTGTGCGCGCCGGATACCGAACCGTCTCAGCAGGGCGTGGTCCGCAGGCGCAAGGACTCCTTGTGCCGCACCGTCCAGTTCTAGAATCATCCCCGAGAGCAGGTTACAGAGCGCCTCAGCTTCTTTTGGGAGCAACCTCGACCTCTTATTGGACGGCAGCACGGGAACGACGACCATTAGTGAGCAGACCAAGAGTTTTCTGTCACCTGTCAAGCGAGCGCCAGTCACGGATCGTTTGAATGGGCAGCCTTCATCACCTAAACGGTCGCCCCGCAAGATCAGGAAGAAAGACAGCCAGGGAACCCTGCCCTTAGAATGCTACTTTGGCAGGAAAGCTCAGAAGAGGAAAGACGATGCTCCAAAAGAAACAAGTGCGGCAAAGGTACCCAGGTTGGACCCAACATCCTACGAAGGTGACATGGTGATAGAAATTAAGCAGGAAGCGCTTTTACCACCTGAGCAGCACGAGCAGTATACAGGCTTAGCTGGTGAAGAACAAAATATGGCACTTGATGCAGGAGAATCCGCTTCAATGTCGTCACGGTGGCGCGCGGAGCCCTCTCAAGAACCGTTGTCTCAGACGAGGAGCAGGAAACAGTACGTCACTGAGCCATGTGATGCTTCTGTGGAACCATCAACTAACGGCAGTCGCAACCTAGATGACCTCCTGGTTGAAACAAGCAAAGTCGTCGTTGAGTTTGCAGACCTGGTTCTCCGTCGTTCTAAGACAGCCTCGACAACACAAGCTACAGCATCGACGCCGACCGTGCCGAACTTTAAGCGATTTCGAAAAGCCCACCAGGCTCACCTAGTTGGTTTGCCAAAGATTATTGGTGGGCCTGACCTTGAAGTTTTCGTTCCCGATGTACCGAGGCACGAGTTTGAAGATGCTGAAGAAGAAGAGCCCGATGAGCTCAGTCGCTTATTTGACTATCGCCCAGCAGATGCGAAACGAAGGCGCCTTGTATGAACTTGGCACGGTGTAATATATGCTTATTTTATCTCTCGTTGCTTGCAAGTGCAAATGTGAAGGTGTGACTGGAACAGCATCAAGTAAAGGCTGCGTAGTAAAGGCAGGCAACGTTGTGCACGATAACAGTGATGCCTCAAAGACCGCTTTCAGGCGCAGGTGATTTGAAGTGCGCTAACGCGATGTGGACTATTAAAATGTGATTTTATTCCAAATTAAGCCCTTTCTTGGCACAAAACTAGCACCAGAAGGTTTCTGGATCGCTATTTCAACAATCAATGTTGATTTAATATTTGCCTTTGGTGCCCCTTCAAGGGTAACTAACTGTATTCCAACAAAAAGCATACACATAAGGGAGAGACAGAAAATTAGTTGGGCACATGAGATTAAGAAGTTTGCAAGTATAACGTGGCAGCAGAAAGCACAGGGTCGATTTGATTGGCCGAACATAGAAGAGACCTTTGCTCTGCAGTGGGCGTAGTTAGGCTGATGATGATGACTATCTTGTTTACGTTCTTGATTTGCTATTTCTGCCAGATAAGAGTGTGTTGTAGCATTGCATAATTAAGCGTGCTTGAGCTATGACAGTTCAAACAAAAGCAGTATAACTGAACTTTGTGCCTGTGCACAAAACAGCTGCTAGTTGAGCCGGTACTATGTTATTGCAACTTGTGTGGACAATTATACGGTCTGTACTCTAGCCCCTTTATTATAATCAAGCGGCTTAGTTAAAGCAGCATGAAATTAACTAAACAAAATCATTCACAAGAGTCCAACATTCCAAAATGACCTAAAGCTATTTTTTCTTTTTTTCAGTTTTCAACAAGCGTGATCACTTGTCAAGCCTGAAATGATAGTTTCATCTGTTCTTCATATTTTCTGCTTGCTTTGTGTAGCATAAATTAATGTACCTGAACAGTGGCATTATACAGTCTGCCAAGCTTAGTTAACTGTGGCATAATGTCACAGTACTTAAGCTTGATTTCTCTTAATAGGATAATATGACTGCGGTACACATATTGAATGAACAGTAATAAGTGTCATTTCTAGGCAGACCTATCTTCATCAAAACACCTTTGTCAGTTCTTGGCGTGCTACTAGAATAAAAGCAGGTTAGTAGTTAATGTTGGCCAGCCTGTCTGTAGCCCCTTATTCCTGCTCATTCAACCTCGAGCTCATTGTGTTTCCATGTGTCGGCTCTCATATTTACTTTAGTTGTACTACATGCTGAAATATTTGGCATAAAAATGTTTTTGTGAGAGATAGAACATTATATATAATTATTTAAAGGCAGCAAAACAGTATTGTATTTTTATTAATGCTTGTCAAGCGTCGATATTAAAGGTGCCCTGCAACACTTTTTCAGCATTGGCAGAAAACACTGCCGATCAGAAGTTGAGGCCCTTGAGAACACACGAGCCAAATACTACAACGCAGCATACAGCCTGGAATTTACAATGAACTCATAAAGTCAGCTAAAAATTGCTTTCTCTTTTCTTGATAAATGACACTACTAGCTCAAAAATCACTTCTCAGAGCCATTGTATCAGCCATTGGCTGATTGAAGATGGCACGCTCGGTCGTTACTTGGGCTGCCTTGGTAAGCCGAGACTTGTCCACCTGCGCGCATGATCGTACTGAAGATCTTTGTATCCAGAGAAAAAAAAAAAAAGAAAAGTGCTCAAGATCATGAGGTGCACGTGATATATCTCCTTTCCTTGTGCCAGGGCCGGATGAACAGTGCGGAGGGCCCGGTTAAAAAAACAAGCTTTTAATATCACCTGGGCTATAGCATACCTATCCGTCAGCTTCATACTGATTGTTTTCATTCAGCACATAAAACGATATTTCAAACAGGAACCACTTTCTATGCACCTTCACATTGTATGTTGGACAGTAGCTGCTAAAATCCTCGTCAGGCTGCTCGATGTACCACCATCAGCTCCTTAATTCCCTCTACATGGTGCATGATCTTGGGCGAGTAGAATGTGTTTACTATAGAACTGTGAGCTGACTTCCAAGATTATACATGTTATGCAACAAACAACCTCCTATAAGAAAAAAAAAGCATGCACATTGATTACTGAAATAGATAATCTGTTTCTATCAGGAGAATCCAGCAGGAGGGTTAAATTTTTCGAACGAAAACAACAGACGAGCTTTTTTTCTGGCCCTTGGGGGGCCGCTTAAAATCGGAGGGCACGCTTCATTTGAACCCTCGACAAACCTCCCCTGCTTTGTGCCATCTCTCCCTGCTTAGCTTCCAGCGTTTTAATTGAGACGAGAGAAGAAAGAATTCAAGTGCAGTGTGCGACAAATCTTGTAACTTCGCTCGTACTGGAAGATTCTCAAAATTTTGGTGACAGTGAATTCGTGAGGCATTAAGCGTCTAGTGAATCCATTTTATGGCTACATAATAAAGTGTTGCAGGGCTCCTTTAAGAGACGCAGGCAGTCTGCTGTAATGTTCCCATACAAATGCTTTGATCACTGAATATTGTGGTTGTTGCTTTTAATGAGACATGAAAACCTCACTTGCATTCTTTCTTGTAGGTGTATCTTTCATGACATGTTTTGTTCTATTTCTTAAACTAACAGGATTGCAAGCATTGCTAGGTGTAGGCAATATGCAGTTTGGCAGCATTGTTTGTTTCCTGTTGCTTTTAGTAGCATGGGACGCAATTGCAGTCTCTCAAGATGCTAAACAGTTTCCTGACTGAGTTTAACAGATCAAGGATGTTTAGCAGATGAATAATATTGGAGCTGGGGTAATTGGCCTATGAGGGCTTCAATGTTAAATTCCAATGTTGCGCCATATTTAGCTTCTCATGTGCCAGCCTGGTGACATGAAAGCCAGGTTCAGTTATAGTTAACAGCCTGTGGGGCAAGTAATGTCATATTTCACATAACATGGAAGCTGAGGAGTAGCATTGGTGTATGGTGACAATAGCCTGTGCCTTACCAACGCAACGAATAAAAGGTCTGGGAACCAGGCCCTGCCATCCTAGACAACTAGCTCCCATGCATTTTGGCTACGATTGAGCCACATTATAAAGTTGCATTAAGCTATCCTTCAGGTCAGTACCGGTGAGTTTTGTGCTAAAACGTAAAATGTGGCATATTGTAGTGAAAAGAAAATGGTAGACTTTACGTGTTATCTACAGACTATGCTTGTGGTTTAACCAAACAATATGTTCCTGCTTAAGCTCCATCTTTTACATTGTTTATCTACGCAAAGGTAGGCACAATGGTTAAAATGTATATAGTAACATCAGTAAATTGGTACAATGGCATGCCCTCTCATTCCTTGTCATCCTTGCTCACTGTGATAGTGTTCACAATTTTCATTTGGCACTTTTACCTTGCAGTTCATGTTGACTCTGTTCTCACTCATTTCAAGATTTAAACTATGATATTCTCATCATGCAGATGTCACATTCTCTGATTCAATAAATGAAACAAACTCGTCATACTGCAGTTTGAGCTTTTGTTTGTAAAGGAAGAGGTGGTTGAAGTAATGAGACCATGACAAGGGGGACACTTACATCCACAAGGCGGTCAAAGATGCGTGTGTACAGTGCCTTAGCCCATGCGTCGCGGATATAGTTGGCCTGCTCTACATTTTGCTGCATCTCTATACTCTCCGAGCGGGCACCCCACTTGGAGTCCAGAACACGACTTGTCAGTTTCTTGGCCAGCTGTGCACTTTCCAATCCCAACAGGTAGGCTGGAAATTCCAGGTCTGCACACAGATTGATGGTTCACACAATCAAGAAACATGGTGATTCAGGGGTGCTGTTTAAGGACTTGTTTGTCTTTGTTAGAACAATAATGAGAAGTAACAGGCAATGACACCAAAGAAAGTATCGAGGTTGTTATTTGTTGTAATTGTAATGTAAATATCAAGAAAAAAAAGGTGATGAAAAGATTACTTGTCGCTGGCAGAGACCGAAGCTGCGACATTCAAATAACACGTCAGATGCTCTACCAACTGAGCTATGCGGCGGTCATCCCTCCATCCACTTATTAGCGTTTATAGTACACGCATTTTAAGGTGGGAATGTAAGTCAGCGCCATGATGGTGAGTGTAGGAAACTCATCTTGTGCCTGTTGACGTAACGTAGCGCGTGATCTTACGACAAGCTGGCAGCTGACCATTCGGTGCACATTTGTATAACAAAGGCAGACGAGCCCTTAAATTTCCACTTTTTCTCTTCATTCATAGCAACGGTTTCCTTCTGAAGACTTGATGCCTTCAGGTAGTATGCGAGGGATTACTGTTGAACTCCTTTATAATAAAGAAGCATGCTCTGGGCAGCAATTCTTGTCTTCTATATGCAATGTCTCTTATAGGCAGGGGACCTCGTACGCAATTTTTTATCAACTTGTATTTTACTGTAGGCATACTGGTCTCTCTTATACCCATTTGTCTCTTACATCAGTCTCTTATAAAGGAGTTTGACTGTATTGGTCACCTGCCAGCTTGGAATGAGATCACGTGCTACCTACAGGCAGAAAATGAGTGTTCCCCACTTGCCGTCATGGCTACTATTGGCGCTGACTTGCACTCCCACATAAAATGCACATATATACCTCAATAAGTGGATGGAAGGGTGATCGTCACAGTAGCTCTGTTGGTAGAGCATTGGATGCGTTATTCAAAAGTCACAGGTTTTGCGCCAGCCAGTGGCAAGTTATATTTTTGTCCAGTTTTCTTTCTTCAACATTACAATTACTGCTTATAACATCCCCTACCCTTTGTTTTGTATTATTGTGCATTAGTTCTCATTTAAAAAGGTACCAAATCACTGGAGGCAAAATGATACTATTACCCTCAGTGAGATTATTTAGTTGGTACAAATTCAAGTTACTTTTAGACACTTCCCTGTGGTCTCCAAGACAGTATGTAACTGTCTTGTGCACAAGAAGCCTTGCTTCCTTCAAGCTCTCACTTGGACTAACATTATTTTACCTTCCTTTTAACTGTGGGCTCTCATAACATCGCCAAAATAAAATTGCAGTCTTTATGTAGTGCAAAATAAAATTCTTATGTGATTACCTTGTTTTAAAAGAACCTACATTTAACACTGTAACCATCTTGTTATCTCTGATTGGTTCTCAGAATAGCTCTGCCCTAGAGTTTCCTACAGTTACCTCTAGAGAAACCACTTGCCCGTGCCCTATAACATTCCATGCATGGAGATGCTGGTATTTCTGTGATTAAGATTAGCAACATTTTCAAAGAGCTTGGGGACATTGAAAACACAGCGGCTCACCTTTACAAGACCTTGCCCCAAACTTCCTTTTCCTTTGTATTGCATTCGAGCATATTTCATATCTGAGGATTTCTACTATGAAATAACATTATACATTTAGAGGACCCCCTGACACCAAATTTGGAAACTCGAGATGCTCGCGTTGTTTAATAGCCTTTGCATGTGCGAGCACGTCTGACCGATTATTACTAAGTAATGTTGCCTTTCAGATATTTAAATTTTGTTTTAGAGTACGCATGAGTGTTCACCTGAGTTTCCAGTACTTAGCGACATCGCCGCTCGTACGACGTTGACAGGGGACCCATGCGGCATCACACACACACACACACACACAGAGAGAGAGAGAGAGAGAGAGAGAGAGAAATGAAGTATTGTCGACTTCGCAGAGCATTCATGGCGCGCGCACAAAAAACGACGACTGGCACCCGGGCGAGGGCTGTTGTTCCTCGCCCCTCTCCCTGTTGGGCTGTTCTCAAGATGGTTTTGGCCGCTTGTGTGGCTGTGCCACGAATGCTTTTCTTTTTCCTGAGGGTACACACTCGAAGCAACAACATCGTTTCATTAGGCTTGTGCGAATATTCGACCGAACACTACAGCATTCGAGTTCGCTTCGATTCGAATTTAAATTATTGGAAATTTTGAGCTATTCGAAATGGGCGAGTAAATGTATTTTGTTCCGCATGCAACTTCTTGTAAAGGTGGTTTCACTGCAGTAAGACGTTATACGCCGCGAAAACACCTACACAAGAGAATCCTGCACTGCCGCGAAGCCCCACTTCAAACTTAAATGAACATATTACCCTCACAACTCATCAGTTTATTCTTTAGGTTATATTCTTGTTATACTGGTTTAGACATAACTTGCATTGCCATCACTTTGGTCGGCATTTTCAGGTACCAGCCGGTTAAAACGCTGCCTGGATTCTTGTTTGACCATGCGGTGCAAGAGACGGTGACCTCAAATTAGTACCGGCGTTCCCTCCAATTCTTTGCGTTCCCCGTTGACGCGGCTGGCGAACAGAAAAAAGCGGGCAGAGCAGAAAATAACACGAGGGGTGAACGACTCTTTGTCCTCTCCTGCACTGACACTCTCAAATGAGACAGACAGTCGTGGTGGGCGCCATCTTAAGTACCCAGCACAGAGAGCCTGTCTGTGACATCACGTGCAAGTCGGTAGCTTTCTCAGGTATACAGGTGCGCTACCAATAAGGAATCTGCCTCAACGGAAATTTAGGGCTGGTTATCTTCGTTAGACTCAATAATGTATTGACGAGGACTAACAGACAATGATACCAAGAAAAGTTTAGGGGATGATGATAGAAGTAATTGCAATATGAATGCGAAGAAAGGAAAGTGGAGGAAAAGACAACTAGCTACCGGCAGGATTCAAACCTGCGACCTTCGAATAACGCGTCCGATGCTTTACCGTTGAGCTACAGCGGCGGTAATCGCCTCGTTCACTTTGTAGGGTATAATATATGGCCATTAAACGTGCGAACATCAGTCAGCCTCTTGCCATTGCGACGAGTGTGCAACACTGTTTTCGCTTCGTGGCGTCATGTGGCACGCGATCTTATCCACGAGCTGGCTGACAGCTCGTAATGAGATCACGGATCCACATATGCGCTTTCGGACAGTCCAAACAATCGAGCGCGCCATTTTCAAATCGGCCAATGATTTAAAGATGGCTTTGTACGAGGGATTTTATTGCGTCTTTCGTCAATTGTCGAGAGAAGAGAAAGCAATTTTCAGGTGACTTTGATAATTTATTGTGAATTCTACGCCGCGTGCTGCGCTATAATATTTGGCTCACGTGTTCTCGGGAGCCTCTACTATCGATCAGCACCGTTTTCTGACCATGCTCTAAAAGTGTTGCAGGGCCCCTTTAGGGCAATGTATGGGGGCAAACTTTGTACCCCCCTCCCCTCTTGGGTCACTTAGGGTAGAACCGTTTGCACACCATGCACACGTCTATGGTCCCCGGCTTTTTGGGGCTAAAATGAGAAGTGAACGGTTCTTGGAGTGCGATACCAGGGGTACTCGGCCACCGTTATCGCCAAAGGCCTGCATGGCCATAACCTTGAACTTGATTTTTAAGAGAGGTAATAGCGCTCTAGAACAGCGGCGCGAACAAGGTGGCCTGTTTGCCACCAGTACTTGAACTTGCTCTGCTACAGTGTTAACAGCGTAGCTGCTTGCGCTTGCGGTCATTGCACTTTCGTAATCTGCGTGCACCAAGTCACACCAGTCCGCAACAAACCACACCATATTCTTAGGGAACGCCATGCCTTAGGGTCTAGCTAAATAACCAGAATGTGGAGTTACCCACATTCATGTCTCTTAAAAGTTTCTAAAAAGTTTTCTCCGTGTATATATGCAAACAACTAAAAGGTTACTAAGCACCAAGAAGAGGCCCGGAATGTAATTACGGGATCAAAGATTTTCATATAAGTCGAGGAAGGGATAGACGAGAACATAAAGAAGCATGGAGGTCAAGAAAACGTATCCCATCCGTTTATCTATCCTGCGCCGGCGATGAAGGTCAGTCAAGGAATGTTGAACGAGATAAATGGACGGCGTAAAAGACAGCGCCTCGAGGCAGATGCAAGGCCGCACCACACAACGATAGATATACAGGCGGGTATACAGTCGACCTCGTAAGCCGCGATGGTAGGGACAAAACGCAAGATAACGGAATGCAAGGGTTTCTTTTTCAGCGCAGGGATCCAATAGAGCCGAGGGGTGACATACCTTTTAGAGGCATTAGTTGAAAGACGCAACAAAACAGTACAGCACGCTTCTTACTACTGTTCTTTTTCTTCTCCCTTGCCCTAGTGCTGGCCCGAAGACGTGAAGTCATTTACACCCAGTGATTGGCGACGTGGACTTTCATCTTGGCCCCCGAGTGCAACGTCAATATATTCTGCGCTGCCAAGGACCACACGGCAGTGCGTCCATTCTTTCTGCTCCTCCGCCCTGTCCCACCGCTGTCTCGGCACTGTGTTCGTGGCGTATAAATCACCGTACGGCAGTGTCCGGGACAACGCCTTCGAACCGATCGTGTCGCGGCGCGCGCCGTCGCTAACTTCCGAAGAGCTGGAGAGAGCCATTAATTACCGCACCGGGTGGGGCAAGCCACGACTGCCACAGTGTCCAGACCACGGCTGATACTTCGCTTCTTCTCGGCCCGTGTCAGGAGTCGTTCCTCCCTGAAGAAAGCAGGGATGAGCGGGTTCACGACCAAACAAACGTGGCTAGCTAACACGTCTTCGCTTACTAAGAAAGCTGCATGGGAAAGTTCTTCGAGCCACAAGAGTAAACGCCCACGTGATCAGCGTCACATGTGCGTCATTCGGAAGCCTTGAGGGAATTTCGCAAAAACGGGAAGAGGGGCTACCATGTCAACAAAGGAAGCGCAAAAGCAGACAAGATAACGAAGTTAGAGGCGTGTGCTATAGTGTGTATC